AAGTTATATGGCTGTTATATAAGAATTGTTTCACTCCACAAAGTTTGGATGTGAATTAAAGAAAACAAAATAATAGCTCAAGTAATTAGCAGATGAAAAGAAGGGTATTTTAGGACACAGAATACTTAGAGGGAGGGATCTGGGAGCAGAGGTACAAATCGAGGGGTTAGCCCTAGGAAAGAAGAAAAACAATTCTTCCTTCCAGACAATGTGGAGAGAATAGAAAAAGGAATTCTAAAAGGATGAAATTTGAGAGAGCTTGTGTTGAATGGCCTGGATTTTCTTAATAGAGCAAATTTATATGTAACAAGTAAAAGACAATACCTGCTGCAGTAATTTCTTAATTCCGTCATAATCATTATCTGAGATGGAGTAAGCTTCAAATTCAATATTCACTTCCTGCAAATAACACACAAAACAGGTTGTCATACATAACTCTCTAAGATGATTCGGGTATTATTTTTCACTTTGCAGATTTTTCTTTTCTCTCTACCTCCATTCTTTTAGGCGCTTTCTCTATCAGATCATCTACCTATAATGCCAGAAAAATGACAAGAAGAAAATGTTACCCGAAAAACTAAACATCTAGGCTTTAACACAGCAAACACTGCCAAGATTGCCATCTGTACAGATTACAAAGAACCTTCATACCATCTCCTCATGTGACATAAAAGCCTGAGAGGAATAAAACACTCAGAGTGACCTAGTTAAAACATTGAGAAAGTTTGGTCCAAATAAAAGTCACAGGAGCCACAAAGGAAAAATCTTTTATCTGACTGCAAAAAGGGTAGGCAAAGAACAAAATCACTTTCAAAGTCTCTGGAATTGGCTAGAGTTTGATTTAGACCATGGATTTGAGGTTGTGCTTCATTCACATAGCAATATTTACTGAGTACCACCCCAAGTACCCAGAACTGTGCCAGGCACTGAGGATGAAATGGTGAACAAAGCAGACAGGAATGATCCTGCTCTCGTGGAGCTTATGGTTAAGGAAGAAATATAGATATGAAGGAAATATTCGCGGAAATACATGTAAAATTGCAATTGTACATGCTTTAAAAGTACATGGTGCTGTAACAACTCAAAAAATAAGAAGTCAGTTAGGAAAGGCTTCCTCAAGTGACACTTTAGCAGGAAACTGAGAAAAAAAAAGTAAAGAGGGCTCCTGGCACAGGAACAGCACAAGCTAAGGCCCTGAGGCAAGAAGAAATATGGTGAGTACAGAGAAGGTCTGTGTAGCTGGGCTCCCTGATCTATCTCTGTGAAACAACAATAGAATCTAAGAGAAGATGACAGTGAAATGCCAAAAACAAAATCTAGATGCTTTTAGATAATACACAAGATCAGTCCTTGAGGACCCTAAATAATACCTTGATAAGACACACTAAACCTGGGGCTGTGATGGAATAGTATATTTAGACGCACTTTAGGTTTTACGGGTTTTGGAATTTAGGTCTTAGCTGAAGCATGTCATGGAGGAAATCAGACCTGCTTTTTTGCCTTGCCATCCTAACTATGTGTATATTCAAATGCTTAACGGTTAAACTTTGAGGGCCTAGATATCAAGTCCTGCTTGCAGACTTCAAATCCTGACTCTCTAAACCAGGCTCAGCTAGATTATATGAGTAGCAAAATCCCAGGGTGGGAGTGTTCCAAACAGGATAAAACTAAACCAAATAATGAACTGTCATTATTCAGGACTTGAATTTATTCCTTAGAAATAAATACATTCTTTAAATAATGTTCTTCTGTTTTTTCCTTGTCTAGATAGAAGCTGTGGGCCTCTGTCCTAGGCTATTATGGTATTACCAATGCAATGGATACCAAATGGATTATTTGTCCAGCACTCCTTTCCCTGGGTATGGGCTCCCCTCCATATGGTTTCAGTAGGAACAGCCATCTTTGTAGAAGAGAGGCCTATCACTCACTCCCAGGTGATTTAGAATTAAAACTGTGGCATCTAGCCTTCCTGCTCTTTTGAATGAAAATCTCAGAAGCTGTTAGCATTTTTGATTTTCTGCTATATGAAGTAGAAGCTGAAAGCAAACCAAATATTTTGAATGTAACAAAGAAGAGTAAAGCAGAGATATGAAAGACTCCTAGGGTTATCTGTTGCATTCCAGACTCATGGACCCAGTCTATACCTGAGGCTCAGTTACTTTCCTACTCTTGGAGATCTGTAAGATAATGGTATATCCTTATCACAAATTTAGCTTTCTGCTGAAGCTATCCTCCAAGGATAAGCATGAAGAATTCTAATCACGTGATCCAAGAATCTTAACTAAACATGCCTATTCCCTTCTCCTTCCCATCTTTCACTATCCCCACCTCTCTTTCTTGAGGTTCCCATAGCCACTGTCTATTGCTGCTCAGCCAGCTGCCTCACCTTGTCCTTTATATCAGGCTCTTTAGGACTTTAAATAAACATGCACATTTCCTTATTTACTTATACACCATCTTGCGTCAAAAAAGATCTGAGGCAGATTTTGAATTACCAAAATAATTCTCATGGATTTCTGCATCAGGAAAATGAGTTGTGGATCAGTGAACATCTCAGAAAATTAAAGCCTCCTTCAAATAAATAAAGGAATACATATCTACTAAGTGTTTCAGTATGGGGAACTACCCTAAAAGCTGTAACAATTTCTTCAGTCAAAAAAGTCATACATGTCAGAAGTAAAAACTAGAAGTGCAGAGGTTAGAAAGTTTTAAAGTTTTATTATTCAGCCATTACTCCTATTCTCTAAATTTTACCATCAAAAGTAAATTATTCTTTCAAGAAGTTTTCAACACATGGTCTCAATTGTGAAATAGTGGTAATTTCTAACTTTACAGAGTTGATGTGAGCAATACATGAGTTAATACATGTAACCTGAAATAGTATGAATTATTATTATATTAATATTATATTAATATTCACATTATGCTGAGGGTAAATTCTTAAAATTACAATTACTGAATCAGGGGATGTATATATTTTAAACTTTGATAGATATAGTCAAATTACCCCCCAAAGAGTTTGTACCAATTTATATTCCCACCAACAGTATATGTAGGTGCCTTGTTTCCTGCACTATCACCAATGATGGTTATTACACAAATTTTTAATCCTTGGCAGTCTGATAGATTTTCCATGTTAATGCAAGAAGCATTGATTTCTATAACCCCCAATTAACAAAATAGCCAAACTTCTTCTAAGTGGAAAATGGAGAGATGGCACTGAGGGCAAGGAGACAAAGTAAAGAGCTGATTTGTAAGGGAAAATGTATATACCCACACCACAGTCTCATCCCTAATCCTGTATCCATGCTCATTCGGAGTCATGTTTACCTCTATGACTTTATTTCCCATCATTCTTTCTTGCTTATTCTTATCCAGTCATCCTAGCTGTCTTTCTGTCCCTCAACCACGAGGACTTTAGCTTTTCTTATATATGAAATAGGAAGCCAATGGGGCATTCTGAGCAGGGGAGTGAGAACAGACCTTCAAGATCTCTCTGGTTGTAAGTGGAGTACAGATTGTAGGGGAACAAAAGTGGAAAAGGCATGCCAGTTAAAAAGCTCGATGGTAGCCCAGACAGGAGATGATGGAGGTGTGGATTATGATGGTTGCAGAATCAATGATGAGAAGTGTCTGGATACAGAAGGTAAACCTAACAGGATTAACTGATGGAGTGGATGTCCTTCCGTGACTGACTAGCCTGTGCCTCCAGCTGGGGATGAGGAAAGCAGGGGAATTAAAGTTAAATCCCCGGTTTTGGGTTACAGCAACTGGAGAATTTGCAGACCATTTACAGAAATGGTGGAGATTAGGAGAAAGTCATGAATTACAAATTCTGTTTTGGATGAGTTAAATTTGAGGTATCTATTTAGACACTCGGTAATCTGAAGGATCATTCAATTCTAACTATTCATTCAACAAATAAGTGCCTGTACTGTCAGGCACTATGGCAGTAGCTACTCTGAGGAAAGGAATCCAAGTTATATGAGACCATAAAGCCAAAAAAATCTGACCAAGACCCGGAAAGCCAGAAAATACAGTCTAGCTGAACTCTGAACAATTAAGGAAAAAATTTGCTGGATGAAGAACATTTGAAAAGGTTCTACGGTAGAAGGGGGCAGGAAGCCTTCAAGAAACTGAAAAGGCCAATGTGAGTGAAACATGCAACCTGAATGAGTAGGAGAGTTGCTTCAGGGGTGGGGAGAGGATCAAGTCTGCAGGCTCTTGTTGACCTACTAAGGACTGGGGGTTTTAGCCTGAGAACTAAAGATAACCCGTGGAGACTACGACTGGGTCCTGGCGGGCTTTGGGAGGATAGCGGGTAGGACTTTAAAAAATAACGACTGTGGCTACAGCACAGAAAAGACTGAAATGGAACCTGAGTAAGAACTTGTCACCTCCAGTTTCTGCGTACAGACCTTCAGGGACAGGGAGGTCACTACTCCACGCAGCTCACACTGTTTTCACGCAGCTTTTGGTTGCCAGAAAGTTTCTTTCTCAGGTATAAAGCAAACTGGGGTCGCATGTGCCTCTCACCTCGTCTACGATCTCGTCCTTCTCATCCTCTTCCTCGTCACTGTCTTCCTCGTCTTCGTCCTCATCCTCGACTTCATCTTCCTCTTCTTCGTCGTCGCGCTGGACCCGGGCGCCAGGCGGCCGCAGAACCCCACTCCCCACGGCACGCCGCTTGGACCTGGACGCCATGTTGCCGCCCACACTGCGCCTGCGCGACCTCCACTGCCTGACCTTCCGGACCAACCCATACTAGCCAAGGGGTGGGAGGCTACGAAGAACCTCGGCGCCGAGTTGACATCAATCTCAGTGCTCCTGCTGGATTCTGAATCCAGGATTCCACAGAGTTCTGTCCAGTCTGGGGTCCTAGCGTGGTCTCTTTTCTTTCTCTCTCCGTTCTGCTTCACCTCTTCCAAGGCTGTCCCTCCCCTTCGCGCAGTGGTTCGACCCATCTGGCTTAGTCGCCCAGGGCCTCGATGTCTGTGCGCATGCGCGAGCGCCCAGGTGGGAGCTGCTCGGGCCCCTGCAACCCATGGGCCGGGGTGCTGGGCTCCCCGGGCCTGGCGCGGGGAGGGGACTGTGCGCTCTGTTGGCATTTGTCCTGCAGCCTCTTTGCTGGGACTGCGAGATACCGCTCCCCGCCTGGGCGCCTGCAGTGTGCCAGGCGCCGTGCTGGGCACGGTCCCATCTCCGCCCCTTCGGCCCTCACCAGCCAGTGAGGTAGGTGCCGCTGCCCCGGTACCAGGGAAGACACTGGCGCCCGCGGGCGTGCAGGGGCCTGCCCGGGTTTCCTAGCGATATGTGACAAGTTGGGACTGGACCCGGAGGCCACTGGTCTGGCCTTCACCGGAAGGTCAGCGGACACGTGCAGATAACCCCCCTTCAGACCCGCCCCGTCCCCGGTGTGTTCCCCAAACAGCCGGGGGTCACAGGCTAGTCAGTGATGGAAGGAATCCCATCCGAATCCTTGCCCAGGTTAACCCTCTGATCCAAAATTTGTTTGGGTTTTTGGTTTTTGTTTTGGAGCCGGGTCTTGCGCTGTTGCCCAGGCCACAGTGTAGTGGCAGATCGGACCTCACCGCAGCCTAGGACTTCGCTGGGCTCAAGCGACCCTCCCACCTCAGCCTCCGGAGTCACTGGGATTGCAGCTGTGAGCCACCACCGCACCTGGCCTAAAAAGCTTTTTAAAGCTGGTTTCATAGCCTTAAATGCTTCAGGGCCATTGGGGTTATCCAAATTAAAGACCTGATCCTATTTGACAGAATAGAGTGGACAGGCCTGTGACAAACTAGAGTGTGTACATGCCTCAGCTGCCACCAGTTGTGACCAAGTGGAAATACTGGCCCAGTGTTGTCAGATCTTTCCACTTCAGGAGAAACTGGAGTTCTGGATTTTTACATGAAATATCTTGATTTTTAAAATCTGTGCCAAATGAAATGCATCTACCAGTCAGGTTTATTCTACAGGTTACCAATTTTCAGCCTGCTGTAAAGACTTATTTGGAAGGAAAATCATTGATCAGAAGACATCAGTTTTCTGGGAATGAAATCTATGGTTCAACATTTTTTTCTCTGTGCAGCAAAGGGAGTGGATTGGATATGTTGTATTATAAAAATGGAATGAGCTGCCCCTAGTAGTGAGGTGGCCATCACTGAAGAGGTTTAAACAGCAGTGTGATAACATCTTACGAATTCATAATCCTTCATCAGGAGAATATAGAGTCAAGATACTGTAAAGGGCCCCATTAGCCCAGAGCCCCCATGGTTGTGTTCTATGATTTCCATCTTTCCTGAGAGTCTCCTGTCTACCGGGCCACATCATGGATATTAATATACTTACTGAAAAGGTAGAAATTTACTAGGTGCGTGTCACCACAGGTAGAGAAAGAATTTTCACACCTTGTTTAGGATTAAAGGAAGTACAAAGTTTATTTTCCTGGGAAAGAAAGTAAGAAAGAGAGAAGGAGGGAATGGCCACAGAGGAAGGAAAGGAAGTGCCAGGCAGTGATGCCAATGCCTTGGTGCTTTTAAAGGGTAAAAGGGGCTTTTTTTTTTTTTTGAGACAGTCTAGCTTTGTTGCCCAGGCTGGTGTGAGTGCTGTGGCGTCAGCCTAGCTCACAGCAACCTCAAACTCCTGGGCTCAAGCAATCCTACTGCCTCAGCCTCCCGAGTAGCTGGGACTACAGGCATGTGCCACCATGCCCGGCTAATTTTTTCTATATATATTCGTTGGCCAATTAATTTCTTTCTATTTATAGTAGAGACAGGGTCTTGCTCTTGCTCAGGCTGGTTTCGAACTCCTGACCTTGAGCAATCCGCCTGCCTCGGCTCCCAGAGAGCTAGGATTACAGGCGTGAGCCACTGCGCCTGGCTGGTAAAAGGGGCTTTTCCCCCTCCACTTTAGCAAACTGATAACAAAAGCAGCAGCAAAGCTGCTCTAGGTGTTCTTTATTTTTTTCTTTTCTCTGTGGCTGGGTTATCTGAGTCCTTAAAATCTGGTTTTTTGGCAGGTACTGAGGCAGAGTGCTGGAGCAGGGAGTTTGCATCTCTACTGTCTGCTTAGGGCTCTTCAAGGCTGAGAAAGAACATGGGGGTCTGTATCCCAGAGCCTGTATCCATGGCACAGACATGGTGGGTGGTGAGTGGAGCTCTGGATTGCCTGCTTCCAACAAAATCATGCTTGGCTCTTTCATCCCCACACTTGTTGCTTGCTTTGTGTGCCACAAAAGGATCTATGCCTTAGCAGAAAATCCATTTTACCTACCACTCAGTGGCATATAAGATTCCTGGAGCCCTCAAATTACAAAGTGTGTTAGTTAGAATTCAACCAGAGAAACAGAACCAGTAAGAGTTATATTTAGAAATTTACTTTGAGGAATTGGCTTGAGCAACTATGGGTGCTGGCAAGGCAAGTGTGAATCTACGTTGTAAGCCAATAAGGAGGGTGGGCCCACAGGAAGGGCACACTGGGGTTCAGCAGAGGCTGAAGCTTCATCCACAGATAAAATTGCCTCTTCCTCAGGGAAGCCTCAGTTCTGCTCTTATTAAACCTTTTGAACTGACTGAATCAGGCCCACCCAGGTTACCTAGGATAATCTCCCCTAAAGCCAGTTGATGGCAGACTTTATTGTAACTCCAGGATACTTCCCAGCAACATCTAGATTAGTGTTTATAAAAATTAGGAAGCCTAGTCAAGGTGACACAAAAGTGACCATTGCAGAAGGGTAGGCTCCTAATATCTGTATGAGACACATTTTGAATAGTTTCAGGAAATGATAGGAACCATACTGACCATTTCCCCAAATCCCCAATCTCTCTAGCTAACACCTCAACAGGAGCAATAATTAGAACTTAATTTCATAATTATTATTTATTCACCCAAGTTTTATTGCTTAGATACAAAATAGTTGATTTTGAGCCAAATTTTTCTATAATGTTCCATAGATAATATAATATTCCAGAAATATATTCAGGAATAACTTATAAGTAATGGAGTTGACACATTTCTGCTTTAAGCAGGGTATTCTGTTGACTCCTATCAACCACTGCAGAAAAAAGAGATTAGAGCAGAACTAAATGAAATCAATAACAAAACTGTACAGAAGATTAATAAAACAAAAAATTGGTTATTTGAAAAGATAAATAAAATTGGCAGGCTTCTTGCTAGATTAACCAGAAGCAGAAAAGAAAGTACTCTAATAAACTCAATCAGGAATGAAAAAGGAGAAATTACAGCTGATAACACAGAAATACAAAATATCATCTATGAATACTCTAAAAATCTCTACACATGTAAACTTGAAAATGTGGAGGAAATGGACAAATTCTTAAGAGGACACAGCCTCCCTAGGCTCAATAAGAAAGAAATCGAATTCTTGAACAGACCAATATTAAGTACCGAAATGGAAGCAGCAATAAAAACTTTCCTAAAAAAAAAAAATCCTAGACCAGATGGTTTCACACCCAAATTTTACCAGACCTACAAAGAAAAACTGATGCCTATCCTGTAGAAATTATTCCACAACATCAAGAAAGAAGGAATCTTCCCTAACATGTTTCACAAAGCCAATATCACCCTGATAACCTCAGCCAGCACCATGCTGAATGGGGAAAAATTGAAAGCATTTCTGCTTAGAACTAGAACCAGACAGGAATCAACAATAACAACAAAAAATAAAACTACAGGCCAATATCTCTTGTGAATATAGATGCAAAAATTCTAAATAAACTAGCAAATTGAATTCAGGTGCTTATCAAAAAAATAATGCATCACAACCAAGTGGGCTTCATCCCAGAGATGCAGGGATGGTTCAACATATGCAAATCTATAAATGTAGTTCACCATATAAATGGAAGTAAAAACAAAGACCATTATGATCCTCTCAATAGATGCAAAAAAAGCATTCAACAAAATTCAGCACCCTTTTATGATAAGAAAATAGGCATAAATGGGACTTCATTCAAAATTATAAAAGCCACATACACCAGACCCTCAGCCAATATCATACTGAAAGAGGAAAAATTGAAAGTATTCCCACTTAGAACTAGAACCAGACAAGGTTGCCCTCTATCACCACTTATATTCAACATAGTGCTGGAAGTCCTAGCCAGAGCAATCAGATAATAGAAGGAAATCAAGGGCATCCAAATGAGGAAAGAAGAGGTCAAACTTTCACTCTTTGTTGACGATATGATCTTATATCTAGAAAACCACAAAGATTCTGCCATGAGACTACAGGAATGGATACACAAATTCAGCCAAGTCTCAGGTTACAAAATCAACATACACAAATCAGTAGCATTCCTATATGCCAACAATAGTCAAAGTGAGAACCAAATCAAAGACTCAATACCTTTTACAATAGCAACAAAGAAAATAAAATACCTAGGAATAAATTCAAGGAGATGAAAGACCTCTACAGGGAGAACTACAAAACACTGAGGAAGACAATAGCAGAGGATGTAAATAGATGGAAAACCATACCATGCTCATGGGTCGGCAGAATCAACATTGTTAAAATGTCTATACTATCCAAAGTGATCTACAGAGTCAATGCAATCCCTATTAAAATACCAACATCATTTTTCACAGCAAAAATAATTCTACACTTCATATGGAACCAGAGAAGACCCCATATAGCCAAAGCAACCTTCAGCAAAAAGAACAAATTGGGAGCCATCAATTTACTGGACTTCAAGCTATACTGGACTTCAAGCTATACGAGGCAACAGCAACCAAAATGGCATGGTATTGGCATAAGAACAGAGACATAGACCAGTGGAACAGAACTGAGTACCCAGATACAAAACCATCCTCCTATAGCCATCTGATCTTTGACAAAGCAGACAAAAACATACACTGGTTAAAAGAATCCATATTCAATAAATGGTGCTTGGAAATTGAATATTCACATGTAGAAGACTGAAATGGAATCTGCACCTCTCACTTCTCACAAAAATCGACTCATGATGGATAACAGACTTAAACCTAATGCATGAAATCATAAGAATTCTAGAAGAAAATGTTGGAAAAACTCTTACAGACATAGGCCTAGGCAAACAGTTTATGAAGAGGACCTCAAAGGCAATCACAGCAACAAGAAGAACAAAAATGGGACCTGATTAAATTAAAAAGCTCTGCACACCCAAGGAAGCTATCATTAGAGTGAATAGATAACTTACAGAATGAGAGAAAATATTTGCATACTACACATTCGATAAAGGGCTGATAACTAGAATCTATATAGAACTCAGGAATGTCAAGAAAAAATCAAACAACCCCATTAAAAAGTGGGCAAAGGACATGAACAGAAACTTCAAAAGAAGTCAGACTAATGGCCAGCAAACATATGAAAGAGTGCTCAATATCTCTAATCATCAGGAAAATGCAAATCAAAACAATGAGATGTCTTAACTCCAGTGAGAATGGCTTTTATCAAAAAGTCCCCAAAAAAACAAATCTTGTCATGGATGCAGAAAAATGAGAACACTCACATACTACTGGTGGCACTGCAAACTAGTACAACCTCTATGGAAATTAATATGGAGATACCTCAAAGAACTGAAAGTAGAACTACCATTTGATCCAGCAGTTCCACTAGTGGGTATCTACCCAAAGGAAAAAAAGATTCTATAGCACAGAATAGGTTAGACAAAAAAAAAAAAAAAAAAAAAAAGGAAAAAAAGATTCTATAAAAAAGACATCTGCACTTGGAAGTTCATAGCAGCACAACTTGCAACTGCAAAGATGTGGAAACAACCCAAGTGCCCATCAATACATGAGTAGATTACTAAAATGTGGTATATGTATACCATGGAGTACTCCTCAGCCACGAAAAACAATGGTGAACTTGTATTATCCTGGATGGAGCTGAAGCCCATTCTTGTAAGTGAAGTATCACAAGAATGGAAAAACAAGTGCCACATGTACTCACCATTAAATTGATACTGTAATAATTGATCAACACTTATGTGCACATATGGAAGTAACATTCATAGCGCATTGGGCAGACAGGAGGGGGGAGAAGGTGAATTCACACCTAATGGGTACAGTGTGCAATGCCTGGGGTTTGGGCACACTTGTAGCTCCAATTTGGGTGGTGCAAAAGCAATGTATGTAACCAAAGCATTTGTACTCCTGTAATCTTCTGAAATTTTTTAAAAGGACATTAAAAGTAAAAAGCCACTGCATAGTATTTATTAAGTAACTAACTGGTGGGTCTGATGCCATTTATGGGATGATAACCTGCATCTCAAGCAGATTTATTCTGCAGTTCCTCAGCAGGATTTATTTTGAGGCCTTTGGGATGATTATAATGTGCCTTTCCCCCTTGATAAAAAGAGTTTTATAATGTTCATTGTAAAAAAAAAATTGTATAATACTGAAAGAGGTAAAGAAGAAGATAACAATCCTAAGCTACCACTCAATTACTAATATTTTGATATATATCCTTTTGTGTATTTATAATCTATAAAATCATACTACTTAATGTAATTCTGAATCCTGTTTTTTTACTTAAGATTATTTTGTGATTAAATAATCCATGTAATTATTTGTGAATATTTTAATGATTCCATATAACTGTACCATGATTTATTTAACCATTCCCTCATTGTTGAACATTTACATTATTTCCAATCATTTATAATCCTAAAGAATGCCAGAGCGAACATCTTTATGCTAAATCTTTGTACATATTTATGAGTGTTACCTTAGTATGTGTTCTTAGAAGTGAAATTATAGGAAGGAAGTATGAAGTGTATAAGGCTTTTGATACACGTTGATAAGTTGTTTTCCAGGTTTTTGGATTACCTGGTGATACTTGACAACATTTAGAAAACATCATTTGAGAAATGGCATAGTCAATATAATTATTTCCTAAAGTCTTATGAGCTACTTAGCATATTTATCTTGAAATGGAAATAATTATTTGTCTCTTTAAAATATAAGATACCCATTTCTCTATTTGTTGTTGACACAACCCAGAATTTGCACCTGTTCTTTTCTCTAAGCCACAAATGTGTAGGACACTTGACTTTCGCTAGTGGCTTTCATCTGCCTCCCCAAGTGATATCAACTGCTACCATGCTCTCCCTTGGCCTTATCAGTGACAAGGGTCTTCAGAAAGAACAAGCCCATTAGTGCTGAGTCATGGTGTGGGAGGGATAGGTCTCTTCAGCTAGCAATTAGTTACCTTCTTCTTGTGCTCCGTCCCCATCCAACATTGCTTAGGAAGAGTCTTTGAGATCTAATTAAGATCCGTTTCCTTGCCCTGTCACAGTGCCCTATAAGGACCACCAGGCAACAATGAAGGTTCTTTTACTAAAAGATGCTAAAGAAGATGATGGTGGCCAGGATCCATATGTCAGGGTAAGTGGCCTGAGACTCCTCGTCCCGTAAAACACATAGCGTCCTTACTAATGGAGTCAAGGGGGGCTGGAGCTGGCAGGGGAGGGTTCTGTGAAAACTCAGAGGAACTGACACAGGATCAATTGTGATATCATGACCTTTATTTTCAAAACAGCCCTGGCCAATCCAGAACTATATTCTTTCGTTTTCAGGAATTAGGATTATATGGACTTGAAGCCACTTTGATTCCTGTTTTATCATTTGAGTTTTTGTCTCTTCCCAGTTTCTCTGAGAAGGTAAGGCCTGTCTGAGCACCAGGTTAGTGTTTGGATTCTTGCCAGCCCAAGCCAAAATGACTATTTTACTACCCCGTCAATTTTTTTTAAAACCAAACTTTAAAACAAAGGCAGCAGAACCTTACCTGGCTCCAGGAGACTGCTGCTGCTGTTATTCTTTGGCTGAGCTTCTACCAACTCTTCCAGAAAGCCACCCAGACCTGGAGATCAGGACCCAGAAGAGCAGGTCATGGTGAGAACACCAAACCTGCATTGCTTTCAACAGTCCTAGAACCCTTTCATTCATACTCTCATTTAATTTAGCCCCACCCCCAACCTCTGCAAAGCAGGCCATACAGGTAGGTGTGCTTTTCCCATGTTAGGCACTGGGGCCCCAGGTTAGGCAACTTAGCCGAGGCCTCCAGCAAGTGAGAGACAGGGCTGATATTCAAACCCAGAGCTTCTGACCACAGCTTCAGTTATGCTTCCTGTGTAAGGGTGACAGATATTGCAGGAGACAAGCCCAGTAAAGCCTTCCAAATGTTTCATAGTAAAGATTCAGTGCCCACAGCTTCAGTGACGTCGGATGTATACAACAGCCCAGTGCCTGGCTCAGAATAAATAAATGTTCAGTAGGTAACATCACCATTATTATCTTTGAAAATCAGGGCTTCAGTATGGATATCACCTCCTGAATAGTCATGTTATTAAATATACAGGTCAAGTCTGCCCTCCTGCCTGCACGCCACCCAGTCCCAGGCTGAGCCAGGCTTGCCCTCTTGGCTGCAGTGACACTACCCCATTTCTGTCTCTCCCCTAGACTGTGAGCTTCCTAAGGGAAATGCTATGAATAATGAATTCACCTGTGTATCCTAAAAAGCCTAGAATAAATAATTCCAGCACTCAATAAGTGTTGGGTGGATGGGTGGAAGGAATTCGTTTGCCTTTGACTTTTGTGAAGCATTTGGAATTATGGGTCATAGCTTCTTGGGAGATGTTGAACTTAGCCATCATATAAAATACCTTTATTGCTTTTTGGTGTGCAGCTGTCTCATCCTGAAGGTTACGGGGGACTCATTTTTACCAGCCCCAGAGCAGTGGAAGCAGTGGAGTTGTGTTTGGAGAAAGACAATAAAACAGAAGGTGAGGGCAGGTCTGCTGTGAATCCCATTAGACTTGTATCTACTCTTATTTTTCCTGCTGGGAGACTAGATTCTAGAAACAGCTACATTTCTAACAGGAGTAGGTGCTTAGTGATGTCAGCTCACAGACACTTTTTTGGGAACCAGGTGACGGGGCTGTCTCCTAAAGTCCCAGACATATGTCACCAAGGGAGAATCTTAAATGTTCACCTGCTGGACATTCATATCTCCCCTTAGAATATATCAGGCACCTCTTCCTCTGAAAATAGGATAAATACCAGTATCATCAAAGGGATGATGAGGAAATACAACAATATATGAAAATGATCAGTGCCATGGCTGGTGTTTAGAGATGCAGTCATCTCTTTGAGCATTCTTCCCACCTCCTTCCTTCTCCATCAAAACAGTATGAAAATGGCACTGCCCATTGACAGGACCCCGGGTTTCAGTCTGAACAAGCCCCTTCTTAGTAAATGCGATTGAACAGCTTACTAGCTAACATTTATGGAGTGCCTGTGTATGTCAGACTCTGTGTTAAATCCTTCCCATTTATTACCTCATTTAACCCTGTATAAAAATCCAGAGGCCCACAGTACTATGATCTCATACTACCACTGAGAAAACGGAGGCTGGGAAGAGTAAGCACTTGTCCAAGGCCACAGAACCAGTGAGTGTAGAGCCAGGCTTCAAACCCCGGCCGGCTGCCTGCAGAATTATACTCACACGCAGAGGCAGCAGGGAGAGGGGCTGCCAGAGAGCTGTGGGGAGAGTTAGTCTTGGGCTCGTGCAGCCACTCTGACCCGGGCAAGTTCCTTGACCTCTCTGCACATCAGTTTCCTTGTCTTTAAAGTGGACATAATAACATCTGCAATTATTACTTCTACTGTTAGCTAAGTGGAACTTATTGAGTGCCCACTCTGTGCCAGACACTGTCCTGAATGCTTTATCCTGTGAGGTAGGTACGATTAGTACTTCCGCTTGGCAGATGAGGGCCCGAAGAAGAGAAGGTATGGAACTTTCCAAGACCACACAGTCTGTAAGTCGCAGGTTCACGATTCAAGCATCTGGGACATTACCTGGAGCAGAGTGGGCACCGAGTAAGTGACAGTAGCGAATGGTTATTATTCTCTCTCTTCATATTTAACGAGGCTTTACATCATAGCCTAAACATATCACCTTCTTGGTGATGTCATGTACACATTCACCATCTGTTGAAGAGAAAGTCTGATATTTTTCTTAGGAATGAGGACCCTAAGAAACTCGGAGCTGGAAGTGCTGTTGATTCCAAAGCAGGGAAGCATGTGTACTTCTCCCCAGTGGTGCTTCGGGGTGCTTTGTCTCACCATTGTACTTTTCCTTTTGTATGCGCTTTGAGGATGAAGGTAATAAAAAAGAGGAAAACTCCAGAATGGTCATTGAAACTTTTTACAGTGCTTTTTAGTTTAAAAATCATTTTCCATGTGTTTTCTGATTGTGATTCTCATGACAACCATATGGGATAGGCAGTAGGAGCATAGTGGATCCCAGTTACCTTGATGCAGAAACAGACGAGACGAGTTGGGCTGCCTGACTTGCAGGGCACACACGAGGAGCCACGGGGCAGAGCTGGCTCCACAGCCTTGTGACCCACCCGGCACCCACTCCAGTCATTCTGCCTCGAGGCTGGGAAAAGGGTTTATTCACAGGCTATGGGTAATTGTTTAATAAATATTTGTGGAGTAAGAAAGAAAGTGAAACTCAATCTTTGGTAACTGTTTAAAAGGGAGTTTCCCTATGAGTGTAAAAGGTAGAGTAATACTATTGAATTTAAGGGAAAGTTACGTTCATAATCAGATTTTAGGAAAGAAGAATTGTTTCTCTGTGTTTTAAAAATGTATTGAATGCCCAGTGGCCTTGTGATATATATTTATACAATCCATTTTCTCTTTGATTTTTCTTCAATTCATATTTAAGGATTTTCTCTCTTTTTTTTGATCATAAAGTAGTAGTATTCTGTATTAAATTGTATTTGTTAATGAACCTGAAATTTATTATTTCTACTTTGACCTCATGGATAAATTAGCCCTCTCAATTGAGATTACAGTTTGTTAACTGCTTTCAGATTTACGTCCCAATTAAAACCAATTGTATTTCTTTATTAGACACATTTTTCAATGATCAGTGACTTTTCTTTAAAAAGTCCAGATTTTAAAATTTTAATGCCATGATGCAAATTAATTCTTCAAGTTATGTTAGTTTTTTAGTACACATTAAAAATGCCGCTAGTACATATTAAAAATTTTACACAGTACCAGCTGTGGAAATGAGTTAATATTTCCAACAAGGCATACTGAAACATTTGCCAAAGAGATTTTTAAAAATTTGCCTGCAAAATATGAACAATATGAAAGTGGAATTTTAGTTTGAGATGTTGTTCTTTACATTTGGTTATTAATAATTTGCTTTGCTTTCTTAGGACGAACAAGCAACCTTCGACAACAGTCCAAGTGGCCACTTTGGTATTTGCAACTCTCATATATTTTCATGTTTTGCAGTCTGGGAAAAGTCTCTGAAAGAAAAATGGAATGCTAAGTCAGTGTATGTTGTTGGAAATGCTACTGCTTCTCTAGGTAAGGAGTCAAGGTAAAAAAAAAAACAAAACACCGAAAAATGGTGTTCTTTTGCTTCTTTTAAACACTTTAATTCAGTATAAAAATATTTTTTGCTTATTAAATTTGTAAAAATTAATTAAAATATAATTGATAAGAGTGCAGTGAAACAAATATATTCAAACAATGCCAAATGGTATTACAAATTGGTTTACATCTTTTGAGAAATGCTTGGTCAGTGTATATTCAAAAGCTTTATTAAAATGTTTGTACCCTTTGGCTCACTAATCCCATTGTTAATATTCTTAATGCCACTGGATTATACACTTAAGTGATTAAAATGGTAAAGTTTTATGTTATATATTTTATTATAATTTTAAAAAGCCTAAATCTCCATATAGTGCTATTATAGTTTTTATAGCTTCTTAATATTTTCTACATTTTTCCAAATAGTCTTGAATTTATATATTCTTTTTTAAGCATAAAATGTGAATAATGAATCATTAAAAATTAACATTATAAATACTTAAAACAATGCTTAGCAACTGTGAATAAATTAACCTGTAAGTTTGTTTCAAAATGGTTCAACTTGTCCAAATGAATTTCAAAATATTGAATTTCACTCAAGTACTATGAGTGAAAATAGTTAAAAAATTAAAAGAACATTTTGCAGAGAACAAAATGAAGTTGGGGATCAGTTGGGAGTTGCAAGGCCGATTGAAGGGTGATGCCTGGCTCTTCTGCACAGCATGACTGTCACCACAAGCTCAGCAGGTCAGCCAGGGAGAGGGGGTCAGTGGCTTGTTTGCCAAGGGAACCACCTCCACTCCTGCACATCTCCCCCTAAAAGTGAGAATTTGCTTGTACTTTCCTTTACTATTTCTTTTTTCTGAATGAGAACAGGAAAGAATATAGGCAATTTCTGACTAACATACCAAAAATTTGACTATCAAATATATAGTACATTTGTAAATTTTCCTAGCTTTCACATATTAGCTGATAAAAGATCATCTTGAGCTATCACACACCCTTCAGTTTGATTTCAGCAGCATCCCTCTGCAATTTGCTGTCCCTGTTCTGTCAAATGAGAAGAAAACTAGAAAAAAGACGGCGGTGATACCATTATGGGAATCTATGTCTTGAAACTCAGAAGAGTAGCTGGGAGTGGGGCATCATCAAGGCAGCACACGCAGCAGAGCTCTGGTCTCAGTTGGGCACTCGCTGGACTCTGGCTGGTTCCTGTTTATTCGGTTGTGAAGGGAAAGGACATGTTCTAAATGCTGAGAACGTATTATCAAAGGAGAGATGAAATCAGGAATTTCACAACTTTTAAAAATCTCTTTTAGAGGAAACCACATTCTTCCTTAACATGAAAGTCAGTTACCCAACTTCGAACATTCTGTTAGTTCGCCTTTTCAGACACAGTGTGCAAACGAGTTCCCTGTAGTGGGCACAGAGAGGAGGCGTTGCCCGAACTCGAACTACCTGAGGTTTCTATTCATCTAGAGTCTCAGCAAGAGCCGGAGAATTAGAGGGAGTTGAGCACCAGCAGGTGGGAGGAGACCAGGCCCGGTGCATTAGTCATCTTTTGCTGTATAACAAATTACCCCAAAACTTAGTAACTAGAAAGAAGCATTTATTATCTCACTGTTTCTATAGGCCAGAAATCTGGGCATGGCTTATTTGGGTTCTTCTAGCTCAAGGCTGTCACCAGGCTACAATCAAGCTGGTGGCTGGGGCTGTACACATCCCGAGGCTTGACTCGGGGAGGGTCCGATTCCAAAATCTCTCACTTGGCTGTCAGCAGGCCTCAGAAGATCTGTTTCTTAGCTCACTCGCATGGCCTCTGGACAGGGCTACCTGAGTCTGGCAGCTGGCGTCCCCTCTCACGAGGTTATCCGAGAGAGAGAGAGTGAAAAGAGAGCACCCGTGACAGAAGCCACAGTCTTTTTATAACCTAATCTCAGAAGTGACATCCCATCACTTCTGCCATCTTCCTTTAATTTGAATCTCATCAGTCAGTCCAGCCCACGTGTGGGTGGGGGATGGCACAGGGACATGGCTCTCAGGGTCACTGGGTCACCCAGGAGCCCACTGGCCAAGAGCCTGCCTGGCTTCTCAGAGCCTGTGGACCAGGTCAGGAGAAGCAAAGAGAAGCAAAGGTAGGCATTTTCCTCAAAGTAGAAATGAACAGGGTCCAGTGAACATCAAGAAGTCTCACTGTAGAAATCTACTTGGAGAAGATGTCTGTGTTTCTTCATAAATGGTGCTCCTTGACTTACAACTTTGCAGATATTATTGATGACTAATAGATGGAGAAAAGCACATACTGCAGTATTTGTACAGTAAGTCCTCAATGTGGCCGATAGGTTCTTGGAAACTGCCACTTTAGGTGAAATGACATAAAGAAACCAATTGTTTTTTCTCAACATTATAGTGAAAATACATTGAACAAGATGATATTGAGGACTTGCTGTCCACTCACTTAACGTGGCAGTTTCCAAGAACCTACTGACAATGTTAAGTGAGGACTTACTATACAGGACTGCATGAAATCTCCTGAGAACATTATTCGGTTGGATAATTTCTGCATATTTTAATAAGATTTCAGTCTGTGTTGAAGAAGCGGAGTGGGTTGGCCTGTGGCCTGATTCCTTGCAACTCGGCCAGTCCCACCAGGGGAGCACCTTCCATTTGCTGCCCAAAGGTGAGGTGCTCACCTTCCCCCACTGATTGCAGGGCTGGACCTGGGAGCTATTTAGTGGCCACTGTTGCTTGGCCTTCTAAACCCAGCCCAGTGATCCCACAGATAGCAGCATAACAATTAACAACTCAACCCAGAACACAGACTCTTTGTAAAGCAACTTCATTGTGAGGGATATATATTTGCACTGCTGGAACAAATTGTCATCTACAGTGTTTGACTCCCTCCTAATATACCAGGCACTGTGCTCTGTAACTTTATGATTTCTCATTTTCATAAGGAAAGTTTTAATAAGCCCATTTTCCCAACGGAAAAACAAAAACTGAGCCTGAGAGAGAAGATGTGATTTGCCAGGGTCACACACTTAGTCAGTGGTACAGCCACTGTTCGAATCCACAATAGCATTTCCCAAAGCCACCTTGCCCCGCTGCATAAGCATGCAGACGTTTTACCATTTTTAAGGCCGTATCTTTTTTATTTTTTTATTTTCTGAGACAGAGTCTCACTTTGTTACCGAGGCTAGAATGAGTGCCGTGGCGTCAGCCTAGCTCACAGCAACCTCAAACTCCTGGGCTCAAGCGATCCTCCTGCCTCAGCCTCGCGAGTAGCTGGGACTACAGGCATGCGCCACCATGCCCGGCTAATTATATATATATATATATATATATTAGTTGGCCAATTAATTTCTTTCTATTTATAGTAGAGACGGGGGTCTCACTCTTGCTCAGGCTGGTTTCGAACTCCTGACCTTGAGCAATCCGCCCGCCTCGGCCTCCCAGAGTGCTCGGATTACAGGCGTGAGCCACCGCGCCCCGCCATCTTTTTTTATTTCACTGCCATGTTTTCCCATAAACTCTGGAAAGACTTTACAGAAATCATCTTATCTATAACCTTATTAATATCTTCATCTCATTTCTTGATTCTTACTGATTTACCTTTGCACTAAGGATTTATTTTACTTTCAGTTTTACCAAATGACACCTTTTCAACATAGACATCAGCAGGCAGAGAATTTCACTCCACAGGTTTACATAAGCCCAGCAAACTGGCTCCATTGTGGCAGTCAGTGTCTTACCCTCTCGAATGTGAAAAATACTGTATGGCAGGTTTGCCTGTGATTAGCTTGGTTTAACACCACTGTGGATAATTTGAAATTTCACTATCAGTCTTTACCTGAGGAAGGCCCTTAAGATGGGCTTGCCCAGGCTGGAGTGTTGGTTGATGTGCTTATACTGACTTGGAGCAGTCTCTCTGACCACAGGCAGGGGCTGAGACCTTAGACCAAACGTGTATTCCCCAGGGCCACATGTGTTTTGAGCACCTTCTGTGGGTTTCGGGGTGGACCAGATAGCCACAGGCAGTCAGGGTTGGCCCCAGCTCACCTGCCACAGCCTCAGCTGCCTCCTCTCAAGTGCAGCATAATTGTCTTCTCATGGGGTTGTAGCATAAGGATCAAATGAACAAGTGCCTATTTTGTGATCAGCAAAGCTGTATATTAAGTTAGTTCTTGGGTGTGGCTCCTGTTGTCTCATGACTTAGGAAAAGTGCATATTAATGCATACTAATGTCAATATTAATTACCTGCCTCACTACAAGTTCTTATGTCTCTGTTCAGTTCCTGCAGGTTTTTCAGAGTTCTCTGGTGCATTTCACCCTTCTGAACTCAAAAACAGAGTAGGGGAAGCCCAGCCTGGGTTGGCACTGCAGCATAAGCGAGAGTTTAGTTCCTGAACAAAGTTTACAACTGCATGGGACATTTTTCTCTTTGACTCAGCACATTTTTGATGATATGTAAATTAAAAGCTGGTGGTATTTTTATTAAAGCTTTCATTTGTTACTAGCCGGCCTCTTGTGTGACTCCTAAGTGGAACTCCCACAACCCCTCTTTCCTCACAGAAGGCCCACATTCCTGTGAGCAGGTAGCAGTGCTAACTGAGCTGGCCCCTGGGCCCTTCCTTCATTAACACCCTCTGCGGAGTGGCCAAGTGTTCACTGTCTGGAAAAGTACAGGGGAGGCTGGGTCTGTCTGCTGCTTCCCCAGCTCATGCATAGGTGTCTCACGGAAGGGGCTGGTGTAGCCCTTCTCTGTAAATGGCATGCGTTTGTAATGCTGTGGGTCCCTGCTGGCGGATTGTTATGAAACCTTTCCTCCCTTCCACGTTAGTCTAGCCACATCAACCCATGACACCTTTCTGGATGTGGTCTGACCTCGTCTCCCTAACAAAATGAGGGCTCTCTACTGCAGACTCCTGCAAAAAGTAGATCCCACGTGCTCACTGTCTCCTGACTGTTAAGAAAACAGCCTTTACTGAGCTCTTAGATGGCATGCAATTTGCTGTCGTTGTCTCACATGGCCCTTAAACCAGCCCCACATGGTTAGTGTTTTCCCCTCTTATAGATGAGCTACACAGAGCTCAGAGAAGCTAGCTAAGGCCTCACCCAAAGCCACAGGGATGGGGGGGGGTGCAGGGACAAGACCCAGCATCTTCTCTCTGAATGGACACCTGAGATCTTTTGGCAGCACACCGGCTTTCAAGAGGAGACCTTTCTCTGTGTGCTTTGTAAAGTGTATGCCTGTGTATTTGCACATTAAAAAACCACAATGGAACAAAAGGACTTCAATAACTGGGTGAAGAAATACATTTCTTTGTTGTTTTCCAGTGAGTAAAATTGGCCTGGATACAGAAGGAGAAAACTGTGGAAATGCAGAAAAGCTTGCAGAATATATTTGTTCCAGTAAGTAGAAAAAGACCATCCTAAATGAAGCCCATTTATTTTTTGCTTATTGATCTCACAGCCACTACCCAGGGAAAAGAATATTTCCTTAGAGCATTCATGGTGGTGAGATTGATTGGAGAGCAGCATATAACACACTTCAGGACCATAACCTATCAGTGTGTGTGTGTGTGTGTGTGTGTGTGTGTGTGTGTGTGTGTGTGCTTGTTTGAGGCTTAGCCTGCCTCCTTCTAACCCCTGAAGAACTTGAGATAACTTGAATGTAACAGAAAACAAAATATTTGGAGATAAAAGCAGTGGAGAGCCCACCTGAAGTGATTCTACAAGGGGCAGAGGCAGGAAGTGCTGCTGGTTACTCTCCCCTTCTGCATGTTGTCTTTTCCCCTCTTCTTAGGAACTGCTTCCTTCTCTGAATTCCTTCCCCCAAAACTTGCTCCCTGGTAAAGAGCTGACTCACCTGATAAGGTCATCATTAAGCTACACATGGACTCGGACTTAAAACAGCTCTGGTTCTAGGGATGTTTGCATTTAAATGGGGACTGAGTCCTTATGGAATTTTAGGCTTCAGAATATATGGGCAAAGATTTTGGAGAGAGAGGGCTGGGAAGGCTGACCGAGTGCATGTGGGGCACCGGGCACATGTAGGGCAGTCCCACCTAGTCTAGGGTGCATCTCCCATCTTGTCTCCTCCCTATGTGTTCAGTCCAGCTGCAGGCACAGGCTCTTGCACTCTTGTCATTTGACCCTCCCTGCTATAGGTGTAATGTCATACATGAGAGAATGAAGCAGAATCATCTTGCGTTATATTAATGTTACTGAAGAGGAAATCAAGGCCTTGCTGGAGACCAAGGGCTGGCCAACCCCTGACCTCACTCATATCCAGGGGCACATGGAGCCTCCTGCAGATGCCTTGGTCTGCACTGCTGGGGGCCTGCCTGATCTCAGACCCCCTCTCTCTAACTGGGCTATCCAGAAAGAGAGGGACCACTGCTAAATTTTCTCTGGAGTATCTTATAAGCCAGAACTGTGAGACATTTTCAAGCCAAAAACATGGTTCAGGAGACTGTAATTTGGGATAAAAGGTATTCACTGTTTGCTGCCAGTAAAGACTGTTGGCACCTTTCTTCTGTGGACACCTGTGATTCGTGAGGTGAGGATGCATCTGACGGCAGATGTGCTCAGCCTGGCACCTGGGGATAGTGTCCTCAAAGGCAGACTAAAGAGGACCATTTGAACAGCTAAACATCCCCTTCAGCAAAAGCCTGATGGCCACCTGTTGCTTCCTGTGGAATGCTACAGACTATGGATTACTGAGGGCCCTTTTCTCTAGCATCAGCCTAGACATGGCAGTGATCCACTTTTGTGCAGTCAGGTGTTGAAACACAGCTGCCGTGAAGCCGCAGGCAGCTGCTCCAGCTGTCCAGGGCAGGTGAGCACTGGAGGGGCAGCTCTTGGCACGGCCCAGCTCCCGGCGTAATTTCCCGGGTCAGTGTGCGGGTTCACTCCAGGGGCTGCTGCTGCAGCGTGCAGGTGGTCCAGGACGACCCGGCTCCAGGCTTTTTGTTTCTAATGTTTCTGGGGAGTCATGATTACAGCGTTAAAGGGTACCAAAGCTCTTTCTTTTATAAATGTAACAATAAATGTAAATGGTAGGTCTTGACATTCCTCATGGGATTAAGTGCCAGGATTTACAAAAATGATTTTTGGTCCTGTGGGTGGGTGGACAATTAGCTCCTTCATGGACTAGGTGGCTTCCCCCTGTTTCCTGGGAGGAAGTTGAGCTGTAGCTGCAGTTGATGCATTTGTTCTGGAAGGAGACAGAAGAGAATGTCTGAGTCATTGCTCATTAGAAGGCCCAGAGCCATCAGGCTGGCGTCCTTGCTTTGCAGGCACAAGGCAGAAGAGATCAGTGTCACTTGTGAGCTATCACACTGGTATTTCAATTAACTGACTCAAGGCTTGGTTGGGAAGATATTAACATATTCTGCCCTTATCTGGGAGAATACTCGTCTGCATTCTTTGCAAAGCCTTTGTTATTTCCTCTAATTTATTACTGGCATATCTGTGGGTCCTAAAAAATCTTCCATTTGCAATTAGAATTTCCAAATAAAAATCCATGTTGACTGCTAATAAGGACCTTCACCTTGGTTTTACCAAGGCATTAATGATTTTTCTCCCCCAATAAACTTTGAAGCCTTATTTTAAAAGCTAAAAATCTACTTCCAATGCTTGTAGTAAACAGGCCGATGCATAGTTATTGCTTATTTATTTTATTACTAATTAACACTGATTGACTTTCTGACAGGTACTATTTAAGCGCTTAAAGCAGTTAACCCACTTAATCTGCGAACTCCCTGTTCGGACAGATTCTCCTTTCCCAGGACATCTCCGTTAATGGCAAAGTGATTACCAGTTAAATGGTAAAAGGTAGAAGACAATATAACTTTTAAAAAGAGAAAGAGTCCAAGGCAGATAGGTTGTACTGCAATTTATTTGAAATGTCCTCCTGGACTTGGAAAGTTCCTGCAGCCAGGCAGACTTGCTGGGCTTCCATCAGTCCCCATCCTCTGAATTATCTGCAGTTAAGCGCCTACTGGCTGCAGGACTGATTCTCACAGTCCTGAGAGGGGGACAGACACACAAATATCCTTCAGTAAAATGACATTGTATCGTGATCACCTAGGGTGACTATTTATGAGCCCCTCCTCAGCTGCATGATACTCTCGTAGGGAATTCCTGCCTTTTTCCCGTTAAAGGATGGAGAACAGAGCCTTTGATCCCCACAGTTCACCGTTTCTGTGTCAGCTTTAACAGCTGCATTTGCCTATTTGGGTTGAAAATCAGTTAGCTTTAACTACTGCGTTGATCTGTTTCGGTTGAAGATAAATCCATAAGCATTAAGCTTATCCTCCAAAGGAATGGATTATTTGTCTTGATCTCTTGAGGAGAGTTAGCACTCAGAAATATCGTTGCGGTAGATCTCCCCTCAGCAGCAGAGAAGGATTCAGTTGGGACATTTCAAGTTTCCTCCTTTGTGCTGATAGGCACTGCCTTTCCCATGGTGTCTGCCGAGCCCACTGGGCGTCTGTGGGCCCGGAGCCTGCACGGCCAGGTTGCCTGCTAGGCACAGGCGGTAGAGTGACACAGAAATGAGCACATGCCACTGCACACAGGTACCACCCTGAGTTGTCACAAAGATTCACAAAGTCTGGTTGTTCATTCACAGGGGAGCCATCAGCTCTGCCTCTTCTGTTTCCCTGTGGAACCCTCAAGAGAGAAGTCCTGCCGAAAATGCTCAAGGACAAAGGTGACTAGAATTTGTTGACTGCATCACTGGCCTCTTTGGGCTCTGCTGAGAGCCTTTGCGGTGAAGGAAGAGGGTAGCCCTGCAGAGCCCACACAAGCAGCCTGGGTTGGGTCGGATAGGCCAGGCCAAGGGACCACAGGGACGTTCCTCACGTCAAGCACGGCGTGCGGTCTGCACTCGCCTCGCTTGCATCTGCTCTTCTCAGCCTGCTTGGCTGCCTTCACCAAGGGGATGGGGGACAGGAGGAGGTGTGGAGGTGGCCCCGGGGCAGATAACTGAGGTGACGAACCATAGCCTTGGTTCCACATGTAGAAGGGAGTCTACGGACGGAGCTGACCTTACAGCAGCGTGCAGCATCCTCCCGCTCCATCCGCTCCAGCTCTGGGAGCATCAGCCTGTGCCTCTGGAGCACGTCACCGTCATTGACTCGGGTGTCTTAGGGGTCACCTGCACTCCTCTTCCCGTCACATAGTTGGTCTGGGAGCAAGGCGTATTAGCAGTATGGAGTATCAACTTTAGGGTAAGAGAACAGATTTGAATTCTCCCTCTGCTGTGTATTAGCCGTGTGAACAGGGTAAGCGATGCCATCTCCCTGTGCATCAGTGTCCTCACCTGCAAAACGTGTGACCTCAGGACCAAGCTCCCGGCTGCTCTGAGGTCGTGTGCGTAGTGTGATGCCCTGCCCTCCAAAAGCAAGCGCGTCATGGAACTGTGACCGTTACCTCTGGCAACAGTCCCCGTGAACAGTGTGACCCAGGGTCATCTCAGACCTTGTAACTCTCCCCTCTTTCCCCCATCACATTAAAACGTATCTCTTGTACCCAGATTGTCATCTGTCTTCTAAATGCTACCAGGAATAAAGGTAGAGGACATTAGTTAATAAGATCAGCAAAATCATTAGCCTTTCTGGCACAGGAAACCACCAGGTGAAAATAAGAGCAAGTTTGGTCCCAGGTATCCTTAAATCATACACAAATCAGCAGTTTGATACTTCAGTTTATTTCTTTAGGTTTTGGGGTATGAAATGGTGACAAATTGCTGCTTTATGCTGAAATTATCTTGATCTCTTCTGAGAGATTTTCTTTCCTATCCCATTTCATTTTCATAAGCCTGAAGTTTCACTACTTTTCAGTGTTTTTCACATACTGCATGGCTGCCCCAGTAAATCTGTAGTGACTTAAATGCGTGCTAGACCTGTCACCACCTCCCCTCTCGTCACCAGCCCTGAAAACCCCTGGGAGTGTTTAGCATCACTTTATGGCAGGGGAAGGAACGTGGGAATGTCCAGAGCCTGATCATTTCATCGACACGTGGGCACCCTGAGGCCCAGAGAGGGGCCCCATGACCACGTGGGGCACAGCTGGCAGCAGCTGGGCCTCCAGACTCCCGGCCTCCCAAGAGCTGCTCTTGGGTCTTGCTTCCTGGCATGTGAATCCTGAATGCGTAGGATTCGTGGAGTGACTAGGGACTGTCCCTGTGGACAAACCCACACGAACATGGGGAACAAAAGGCATTCATGGGTATGAAAGAGGCCATGGTTCCTGGTTCTTTGTCCTGCCTCGGCCACTCAGCCGCCTCGGTTGTGGGAGCCGCTCTGCAGCGTTCAGCAGTTTGCAGGGGGCTGTCCGAGGCCCCTTGCTCTGAGTCCGGCCTCTCGGTTTCTGAGCACAGCTGGTTCCAGGAGGGTCGTGCTGCTCTGGGAGGTTCCCCCGGCTGCGCTCCGTGGTGTCGGAGACCCCAGTGTATTCCCAGCGTGGTAACGTCTTTCCCTGGTTTTGACTGTGCACAGGGATCCCCATGGAAAGCATCGCTGTGTATCAGACGACTCCACACCCAGCAATCCAGGCGAACCTGCACAGCTACTACGCCACGCAGGTACGTGGCGTTTCCAGGGAGCGCTGTGGCAGGAGGGCAGGTGGTGGAGGCACAGGGGGAGGGCATGAGCTCCCAGATGTCGGTGCTGTCCTCTGGCCAGGCGCACACAGACCTGGGAGCCAGCACGGCGACCAAGGAGCAGCGCCAGCCTTCTGGTCGCAGCCTGCTCCTTTCATCAGTTCCTTGCCGAATTTCGCCTTGTTGGAGCAGAAAATGCCAGCATCAACCAGGAACCGCTCCTGTGGTAAAGCCACCGGGGCTGCCTGTGGCTTGAGTTGTTGATGCTGATGAAGCTAGAGGAATGTTCTGTCTCCCCAGCCTCAGGGCAAGGGACCGATCTCGCTTTCTCTTCCCTGCAGGGTGTTCCAGCCAGCATCACGTTTTTCAGTCCCTCCGGCGTTACATACAGTCTCAGGCATATTCAAGAGTTATCTGGTGACAGCGTGGATCAAATTAAGGTAAGGTATTCAGTGGGGTTTTGTGTCACCTCATTTAATCCCATAGCAGCCCAGTGAAGGGTCCAGTATCCCTTTCTGTTTTATGGATAAAGAGATGGAGGCCACTGTCCTGTGGGGCTGGGATTTGAACCCTGAACCCTCTGGCCCCAGAGCCCTTGTCTGCTTTTCTGAGGGATCCAGGCACCCCCTGCCACACCCTGCTCCCATGGACCCCATCCAGGGCCCCTTGAAACCCAAAGCAGAACTGTCTGCAGCTGGGGTGTGAGGAAGGGCCTTGCAGATGCAGCCAGCGATCCGGGACCTGGTACGTCCCTGGCTCCTCACCTGAGCCCTAGAAATGGCTGCTCTCACACAGGGTGGCAGGGAGTCTGTGATACGATTGTGGATGCAGAGGTATTTTGCAGACTGTGAAGCCGGCCCGAGTCAGGTGGCGCTATCATTTATGTAAACACGTCACATGAGGACTAAGGCCCCAGGGAAAGGCGGCTGACAGCCCTGCGTACGTCCAGCCGCCTGCCTCCCCAGCATGGCTGGTGCGCTGAGGCTCTGTTCTCTCTTCTCTCTTTACAGTTCGCAGCCATCGGTCCCACCACAGCGCGCGCACTGGCCGCCCAGGGCCTGCCTGTGAGCTGCACTGCGGAGAGCCCCACACCGCGGGCCCTGGCCACTGGCGTCAGAGAGGCCCTGCAGCCCCGCGCCTGCTGCTGAGTCAGCCGCCCAGCAGCCTTGCCCGGGGCAGCCTTCCTGGGCTGGGCTCCTCCCCATGGGGCCAGGGCCACTTGCTGCTGCCTCCGCATGGGCCAGGCATCGGACTAGGGCTCTTGGGAGCTGCCACCACCAAACTCCTGCCTCAAGCCTGAGTGGAACCAGCTGAGGACCAGGGGCCAGGGCCTGGCCTGGGGCTGGCATCAGGCCTGCATGCATGTGACTGCCCTCCACAGAAGCCAATTTGGACCCTAGCCCAGACACACGCCAGCCCAGGCCCTGCGAGAGCTTTCTGTGCCCAGCAGGAAGGAAATCAAATAAACCGCGGCTGGCTACTCGTGATCACTGAATGTGTTTGTTACTCACTGTGTGTCATTTTCAGTGCAAAGCTGTGCTCAAGGAGGAAACAGATACGCTCACCTCTGGTAACCGACCAACCTGGTACGAATGATAAAAGTTGCTATGTCTGACGCTGGTTTATTCATGCTATAAAAAGGACCTTCGAGTTCCTGCTTGTGAGCTATGGACAATTGTAATTCAAATGCAGAGAGACTGCTTTCCTTCAGAAATACATGGCTGCACTGGGTAGCCAGACCATCTTCTCCTCCTGGCGTTGGAGGGGCAGGGAGGGGGGTATCTCCTCAGAAGAGGTTCATCTGCAAACACACTGCCCTGCAGAAAGGCTTTGCACATCTGTCCCCAAGCTTTATTCCCACTTTTTAAATCTTGGCCTGGAATTTAAGCTGGGTTGAATGAAACTTGGGTTTGTCTCTTAGCAGCATGTGGGCTAGTGGTGGGGAACATCCCTGTGCCACCCACACCTCCGGCTCCCTGGCAGGTCAGGCTGGGAGGCGCTTTGCGTAGAGCAGCTGCCTGTGCCGCAGCTCTGTGCGCGGCACTCTCCGTGTCCGAGCGCATTCCTCAGGACCCCAGGGGTGGACGTGACCATTGTTCCCATTTTTCTGGTGAAGAAATAGGCTTAAGAGGTAAAATGACTTCTCGGGGTCACACAGCTAGTGAGTGACAGAACCAGGACAGAATTAAACTGAATTAAAGGTTGCATGGGGCAACCACTCGTCCCAGGGTGCTTAAGTAAAGCAAAAGACACAGCACCGGGTCTGACCGGTCTGACCTTGGTCGCCACCGGCCCCCCAGGTGCAGGCCATGGCATTTGCCATCCTACCCAGAGGCTTAACTTCTCACACCTAAGTGAGTTGGGAGAAGTGGCGGGAATCCCTGTCTTATTTCACCTGTGTGGGCAATTGCTCCCCTCTCCAGGGAAGCTGAAAACCATTTTGAAAAGAGCTCAAGTGAATTATCCTGACCGACAGCCTCCCTGTCAGCTCCCCCAGGATCTTCACACAGCTCAGCTGTGCCAGGGTCCCCGAGGCCCACCTCACCGTCCCCCATCACTGGCAGTGACTGAGGGAGCACCCTGAGCGCCCCCAGCTCAGGCAAGAGGAGATCAGTCCAGCCCGGCCTCTGCACGGGCACGAGGCAGAGTCACTCGGGCGGCCCGTCCCGCAGCCTTCAGCCTACGGGGCCCAGGACAGAGCGGGCGGCCAAGGTGCTGATTCGCACACCAGATAGGAAGCTCAGCAAGGTCCAGTGACAGCCGAGCAGCGCTGACACGCAGCCCCAGGCAGAGAACATTCTACCTATGAGCTCACGAACCCAAGCCGGAAGGAAGAGCAATAAGGCTGTAACTCTGCTGCCTTTCGCCCTGTCAAAGCTCCCGCTCTGCCTGCCCTCACCCCGCTGTGGCCACAGCAGCCAGGAAGGGCCTGCTCAGGCAGACAGCCCGGGTGACCCGTTTGAGGAAGGCCAGTCCCTTTGCCCACCTGACTCCCTGGAACGACCTGGACGCTCTGCAGTAGCGGCACAGCAGGACAGCCACCGGCAGGAGCACCGTCAGGACACCGCCACCGATGAGGAAGAGAATTTTCGCCCGGAGGTCAAAAGCCTTGGCTGTGCCGAGGCAGAGAAGCGCGGGCCCGCAGTGAGCGTGGCCCCGTCCCCACGCAGCCAGGAGGCAAGCTGGGCGTGCGCCCCTCCGTGGAGGAAGGACGCACCCAGACACAGATCCTCACGTGTGTAAAACACCAGGGAGTCTCCCGGGGGGCCTAGACGCCTGAGCCGGCCCGGAGGCCGGAAGGAGGTTTGTGGATGAGAAGGGCCGGCAGCACGGAGAGAACTAGGAGGACAGACGCTGGGAGGAGTCCTCCCTCCCTCGGGCGGGCGGCTGTAAGCGGCTGCCCCGGGGCTAACGGCCCCACGCCCACACCTGGGCCTCCCACCGCCTTCACTGTCAGAGTCAGGACTGACCCTCGCTGGACCTCAGGCTTAAAGATCTTCTACGGGAATGGCTGTTTCCAAGTGTTACTCTCAGACAGTGCTGAGAACATGCAAACCCATTTGTAAATGATGCCTGTTATAGGGGGAAAAAAATCAGTTCTCCCACTGACAATTAAGTCATGCATCTCATGGCTTGAGATTCTAGAAGCTTCCACCCTTGCCCAGGCTCAGTGATGGGAGGTGGCGGCTCAGGCTGGGAACAGCTTGCCCAGAAGCCCCTTGTCCCCCATTGTGTCTGTGCTGTAGGCCACACGCCTCCCTCTGACATCTTCCCTCCTAATCCCAACTGATTTCCTCGCTATCCAGCGCCCCTGGAGTGAGCAGGCACTCTGAGCCTTGGTGGCTAGTACCTCCAAAGCTTAGTAGTGGTCAGGGAACAGAACGCACCCAAGAAGAGCGAACAGTCCAAGTGGTAAGCACACTTCCCCAAGTCCCTCCGTCCCGCGCTGCACGAGGCCAACTGCACGGTAAAGTTCAAACAAATAATAATGTAGGGAACAAGACCCTTCAGTAATGAATTCCTCAAGCCTATGATCCCTGAGTCTGAGTGCTGCCATAACAAAACACCCAAGACATTTATAAGTAGTAATTTATAAGTAATAATAAACAATAGTAGTAGTAATAGTAATAATAGTAGTAATAAACATTTGTAAGTAGTAATAAACAACAGAAATTAATTTCCTAACAGTTCTGGGGGCTGGAAAGTGCAAGATCGAGGTTTGGCATCTGACGAGGGCCTGGTCTCTGCTTCCAGGATGGCACCTTGAACGCCGCGTCCTCGCATGGCTGAAGGGACGCGGGGGCAAAGGCTGAGAGCTCACTGCAGCCTCTTTTCTGAGGGCATTAACCCACGCGTGGGGCAGAGCGCTGGCGACTCAGCCGCCTCCAAAGGGCCCCATCCCTTACTACTGTTGCACTGGGGTTAAGTTTCAGCCTGAATTCTTAAGGTGCACAAACATTCAAACCACAGAAGTCCCTAAGAGGGATCATCTTACCCCATTAGGGAGAGCTGTTATGTAGGTTCTAAGATCTACCTTTCAGAAGCAGTTTTTGGCCAGGCGCGGTGGCTCACGCCTATAATCCTACCACTCTGGGAGGCCGAGGCGGGCGGATTGCTCAAGGTCAGGAGTTCAAAACCAGCCTGAGCAAGAGCGAGACCCCGTCTCTACTATAAATAGAAAGAAATTAACTGGCCAACTAATATATAGAAAAAATTAGCCAGGCGTGGTGGCGCATGCCTGTAGTCCCAGCTACTTGGGAGGCTGAGGCAGGAGGATTGCTTGAGCCCAGGAGTTTGAGGTTGCTGTGAGCTAGGCTGACGCCAGGGCACTCATTCTAGCCTGAGCAACAAAGCGAGACTCTGTCTCAAAAATAAAGAAAGAAAGAAGCACAGTTTTTGACTAGAGCTAGCAGGGTGGAGAGACTGGAGGTTGCCTGGCTCCATCTTTTACGCCAGTCAGAGCATAGGCTGCACAAGGACCGTGGTGGCTGTGCAGGTCCTTGTGAGCACCACCCCCCCGCACCCCAGGGGCTGCCTTGCCCTGCAGCACCAAGTGTGGGGCCAAACACCTGATCCAGGGGTCCAGCTAGGAATGGACCCTCTGGGTCACAGTGCAGGACTGGGCCCTCCCAGGTAGCCCATTGTCCTACCACCCAGGGAGGAGTCCTGGGCTGTAGCACAGTCAGAATGACAGACAGGTTGAGGGTACGCAGGAAGGTTTTACTCTCCGAGATCCAGCCTACACCAACCTCAAACCTCCACAGAGCTGCTCAGAAGGTTCTTTAAAAATTAGTCAATGGTGGCCTTTTCCACTTACAAAGCTCCACCTGAGCTCAAGAGCAAAATCCAAACTCCTCTGCCCTGTGGTTCTTCACCGTCTGACCATTTCCTGCTCCTTCTCACCTCCCACTTGGCTCCTCTGCGCTCACTTCAGCCAGCTGGTCTGCCTTGCCTTACACTGCAGGTGCCCCAGCCCGTCCCTGCCTCAGGGCCTTTGCACTGGCGCTTTGTTTTGCCTGAAACACACCATGGCCAAATCCCATGCATGGGACCCTCTTATCTTTCCATTATTGCTCAAACCTCCTCTGCACAAGAGGTCTGTCCCACCCACTTTAACATTGACTCCTCCCCCAAGTCACTCACTCTCCCTAATTATATCCTTGGCACCTGTCACTATTTGAATTTTTCTTTTTTTCCATTTATTGTCTGTGTTCTCCACTTAGAATACAAGTTCCATGAGGGTAGGGAGTGCATTCATCACGTTCATTTCTGTGTTCCCTGTCCCTAGGACGGCAATAAGCATTTGTTGAATACTGACTGGATTAATAACGGCTAGCGACCCCCCCCCCATACACACGCGTACACTCACCCCTCTCATCAGACCTTTGACTTGGAATTCCCAGCTCTCATCCACAAACTCACGGTGTCTGCAGGACTTTAACTCACTTCCTTCAGGCTCTCGGAACATACTGGGGTAGAAATTCCTGCAGCAGAGCCTCAACCTGTACTTACTTTTTCCTCCCCATCCTCTGCCCCTCCATCCCTCCCCTGGCTCTCGGGGTCAGCTCCCAGCAGGCATCTATGTGACCCCAAGCAAGTGGAGGAACAGGAAACACTCAAGGAAAGTGGGCGGTGAGGGGGTGGCCAATCGGCGCGGGTGCCCATGCGGTGAGTGTGGAGGGAACGGGTGTGCCCGCTGGGTCTCTTCTCTCCAGCTGGGCTCAGCAAGCCCGTGGAGGCGTGGAGCAAAAAAGTCGGATCCTACCAATGCCGAGGCGGGTTGAGGTCACGGTCTGTGGCTCTAACCTGGACAGGGGGAGAAACCAAGGCTCCAGGGAAGCTGGTAGGTGGGGTGCGACTGTTGGTCCCGCTGGGGTCAAAGGGCCATGTGATAGGGACAAGGGGGTGGGCGGCTCCCAGGAAGCAGGGGCCTGCAGGGGCCACCCACACCCGTGGGTTCACAGGCGCAGTTCAGGGGCTGCGGGGGCCAGCGAGGCCCCCCATGGGCAGCTCCCAGGGAGCACAGGTGGGAAGCTTCAGACCAGAGTCAGGAGCGGAGCGGCCAGAGCAGCGCCTCAGCCATCCATCCACTCGGACGCCAGGGTCAGCGGGGATGTGGAGGGACCTGGAGGTGGTAGTCAGGACGTCCTGCCCCTGGACCTGCACTGCCTCCAGCGCGAGGGTGAAGGGCAACCTGTGGCCTCTGCCGGGGGCAAGTCTCGGGGAGTGGGGAGAGCGTGAATGATCCTCCTGGGGACAGACTCAGCCCTTGGGGGCTCGTATGAGCCGCCGCTGTCTAACTGCTGCACCTACTTAGCCCAAGGCTCAGGCTCAACACAGTAAAGGTTTATTCTGGGCTCATTTCACAGATCAATCAAGCATTTGTGAGGGTGGCATTCCACAGGGTCACTCAGGGACCCAGGCCACTTCTTGCTAGATGCGCTGCAGCTGGCAGGAGTTGAGGGGAGAGAAATCACGGAGGATCAGAGGGAGGTCTTAGAGTTCAGGCCTGAAAGTGGTGTACATCGCTCTGTCCGCGTTGCTCTGATAGGTCCCACGGACAGCTGCGGCCCAGTCACAGGCCATCAGCTTGGGTCTGCTCATATAAAAGCCCAGGGGGGCAGGCTCTGTCTTCAAGATCCCAGAGAGACTTGGAAACCAAGGGAGACGGTGTGGGCTGAGGTAGGTCCTAGAACCTCAAGGGATTCTAGTTTATCTTTATATAAAATCTCTGACCCTATAGAAGACACCATGTTGTCATTAATTAGGATGATACATTCAGAAACACGAAACGTGCCCATGACATTCTGTTGAGTTGTAAGTAATAGAATAGAGGATATATGGTTTATGTGAAATTATATATACACACAAATAATTCTCTACTTATGTACACATCTGTATCTGCAAGAATGTTCACAGAAATGTTACCACCTCAATTATATAATTTCCCCTTTATCTCTGTACTTTTAAAATGTATAATATTGACTGATTATGTATTCTTTTTATAAAGAAAAAAAAATAAGAGAAACAAGAAAAAAAAATCTGAGAAACAAACTGAAAATCTCCAAACCCCAGTTCACCAAGAAAAAGAAAATTGACCCAAACGATGAGCAAACTAATCATGTTGATGGCTTTTAGCTCGGGCCCAGTTCCGGGACAAGGTTGTCAGGGCGAGGTTTTGTGCCTCCACGATCAGAACCAGCAGAAATCGGTAGCAATTCCAGGGCTGACGTAGGCAGCAAACTCACCCACGTGCCTATCTCCATGGAAATGGATTCCGCAGGCCTTTGCAACTTTGGGATGCAATTACCCGAGGGTTGTGCAAACACAGGGGCTGAAAGGAGAGGAGTTCTCACACCCCCGGGAAAGGTGGTCCTGGGGTCTTCAAAGGCAGCACGGGGCCTGGCGCGTGGCTTCCTAGCGGGCACACTTCAGGGCTGGGTGAGAAACACTTACAAAAGCTGGCGCAGGCAGGCCCCACTCCTGAGGAGGGAGAAAGGGAGACGGGGACGGAGCCAGGCAGGGAGCGCAGGAGTTCCCACCCCACCATGCTCGCTGCCTCCATCTTCCGTCCGACTCTGCTGCTTTGCTGGTTTGCTGCCCCCAGGCCCGCCCAGCCCGAGACCCTCTTCCACAGCCGGGACCACTCGGACCTGGAGCCATCGCCCCTGCGCCAGGCCACGCCCATCGCCGACCTCCACGCTGCTCAGGTAGGAGAGCGGGGGAAGAACAGCGTCCCCTGCATGCACACTCACAGGCATACACCCGTGCACACGCGTGCACACACGCACAGGCCAGGACATGGCGGCGAAGGCCTGGGCTGTGCAAAGGCCGAGAAGGGCCAGGCAGGCTGAGCGGGAGGGGGCTTCTGTGGTTCCTGCAGGAGCGGATGCTGAATCGACGCCTAAGCTCATGGTAATTGGCACCCCCCCACCCCAGTAAGGGATCAGTGCTGCCCCGTGCACACGGCCAGGTGCCCGTCCACATGCAAGCACGTGACATTGTTAGTGGCCAAGTCACGGTTCCAATGGTGTTCCGTGGCTATCCACCATGCCAGTCTCTGAGGATTCGGAGAAGGGGCGGCCCTGCAGAGGTCCCCTACGCAGCAGGGTCCGGTGCCTCAGCGGAGCTGCCCGGGTGACACCCGTCACCTTCACTGCAGCTCTGGGTGAAGGACCTGGGCAAGGGCTCTAGCGGGGGAGAGTCCTGGTGGACAGGGAGTGGACAGGATGAGACCCGCAGACTCATGCTGGACACTAGGCCTGGCCGTCCCCACACACTGCAGATGGATGGGATTTCCTAGGTTAATCCCTGGCCCCAAAGGTGCTCTGGAGGTGAGGGCAGTACGGGAGGACAGCTGGCCCAGGTCTGCCTGGGCTGCCCTGTCGCATGGCTGTGGCCCCTGCCTCCCTGCCTCTGTGGCTGGGGAGAAGTCCCCAGGTCCTCAGACACAGCTCACAGGCCAGGCCTGACCATAGCCTCCTCCATGCTGTGACGCATGGCCTTCCTCAGCGTCCCCACCTCCCACTCTGACCTCTACTCTGCAGCCACAGCCCTCCCCTCCCGGCCCACCCCCTCCCAGCCTGCCCAGCTCCCCCCGCCAGGCCACAGGCAGATCCGACCCGTCTCTGCGTCCACCCCGCCCTGTCTCTCGCACAGGCTGGGGTGGCGGCGGCCCCACAGATTTGGGTGTGTTTCTCTCCCACAGAGATTCTTGTCCAGATATGGCTGGTCGGGGGCACAGGCCGCCTGGGCTCCCAGCCCCGAGGGGCCACCAGAGGCCACCAAGGGCGCTGCCCTGGCCGAGGCCGTGCGCAGGTTCCAGCGAGTGAACGCGCTGCCGGCCAGCGGGGAGCTAGACGCGGCCACACTGGCGGCCATGAACAGGCCGCGCTGCGGAGTCCCTGACCTGAGGCTGCTGCCCCCCGCCGCCCCGCCGTCCCCACCGGGCCTGCACCCCAGGGCCCGCCACAAGCGCTTCCTGCAAACCCTGCTGCCCAGGCCAGGCCGACAGCAGGAGGAGCCCCCAGACGGAGGGGCCCTCAGGGCCTTCTCCAAAAAGACCCTGAGCTGGAGGCTGGTGGGCGAGGCCTTGAGCAGCCAGCTCTCCGTGGACGAGCAGAGACACATCTTCAGACTGGCCTTCAGGATGTGGAGCGAGGTGACGCCGCTGGACTTCCGGGAGGATCTCACTGCCCCTGGGGCCACAGTCGACATAAAACTGGGTTTTGGGAGAGGTGAGAAGGGTGCAGGCTGGCTCCCCCTGCCTCCCGGGGCCCGAGAGCCAGCCACTGGGCCATGGGTAAATGCCACCTCGGCCTCTGCCCGGCCTCAGTGCCCTGCAGAATGGTGGCTCAAACCCCTACCTCCTGGGCTTGCTCTGGGGTGACACCTTCAGGGCAGGGCAGATTGACCCCTTCTGTGACCCCTTCTGCTCGTCACCCTGCAGAGTCTGGCCAGCCACACAGGGACGGTAGGGCCAGGCCCTCTGCTCCTTAAGAGCAGCCCAGTGGGTGCAAGGCCTGTGTGGGCTGCCCCACAGCTCAGCACACGCCAACCCCCCACCCTCCTCCTCCTCCTCTCAGGGAGAAGGACCGAGTCAGGGGACACAGGGCTCAGGCCCAGACGCCACCGCCTCCTTGCGGGGTGGATGTGGACAAATGGCTTAGCTTCTCTGCAGCCCCATCTGCCGACCTGGGGTGCTGACAGCTGTCTGGCCGGTCTCACTGGGTTAACGTCCCAGAGCGATAAGTACAGGGACATGGTTGGTTAAAAAACCATACAAATGTAGGGGACAGTGAACTCCTTTGTTTCACAACCTACTCAGAGGTTAGGGTCCAGCTCTCATCTCATCTCCCCACACCCCCACACCCACCTGGCTCAGATAATAAAACAGTTCCTCTCTTCTTTGCTCCCACAACACTTGGCACCTAGCTCTGTTTCCAGCCAGCCCTCCCTCCCTTGTCTTGCTCTGTCACCCCGGCTTTAGTGCAGTGGTGTCATCATAGCTCACTGCAACCTCAAACTCCTGGGCTCAAGTTATCATCCCACCTCAGCCTCCTGAGTAGCTGGAACTACAGGCTTGAGACTGCACCTGGCTAATTTTTCTGTTTTTAGTAGAGATGGGGTCTTGCTCTTGCTCAGGCTGGTGATGAACTCCTGACCTCAAGCAATCGGCCTTGGCCTCCCAGAATGCTAGGATTACAGGCATGAGCCACCATGCCCAGCCACTAGCAGTCTTTAGACTCTGTAAACACTGTTGATAAACGTGTCTGCTGTACTCCTCCCATTGAGGAGTAAAGCCAGGAGCTGACACCATGTCTGCCTCTGACACGGGACAGCAAGCTCCCCGAGGCTGGAAACTTATCAATGCCTGTGCCCGGCAGGTGATGAGCCTGTGTGATGGGCACCCCTCGTTCACCTGGACCACCTCCCTCTCCCCTCACCAGGCCGGCACCTGGGCTGTCCTTGGGTTTTTGACGGCAGTGGACAGGAGTTTGCTCATGCCTGGCGCCTGGGCGACATTCACTTTGATGACGACGAACACTTCACGCCTCCCACCAGTGACATGGGCATCAGCCTTCTCAAGGTCAGTGGTCCTGAGCTGCTCACGTTGACAGGCAAGGGCAGTGCGGCAGGGGCCGGGGTCCAGAAGGCCAGAGCTTCTCCAATGAAGCGTCCACGTCCTCCTGTGAAGGTTCATCCATCTGTGGTTCCCCAGTTCCCGCCGTTGTTCCCCTTCTTAACAAGCACAGCTCTCCTGGAGAACAGGCCTGCCCTCTGTAATGTGGGGACTGGTCCTAGGGCTACTCGATCGCCCCGGCTTGGCCCCATACTGATGGTTCACGTTCCTCCTCTAGGTGGCCGTGCATGAAATTGGCCACGTCCTCGGCTTGCCTCACACCTACAGGACGGGATCCATAATGCAACCAAATTACACTCCCCAGGAGCCCGCGTTTGAGCTGGACTGGTCAGACAGAAAAGCAATTCAAAGGCTGTACGGTAAGACTGTTCTGGGGAGGCCATGCCCAGCAACTCCGACATCGCCCCTGAGTAGCTGCCCTCTGGCTCCGTGGTGCAATTCTTAAAGTGGTCCCGCCCAGACTGTGGCCACAGCAGGAGGAGACAAAGCACACTCCAGTGGACAGTCCCTCCTGTGTCCTCTCTCACACGTCACATACACTTGCTAGGGGGAAAGAGAGCACGGTGGTTCTCTAAATACCAGCAGGGCACCCGTGCCATGGCACCCCACCAGAGAAGCCACCGGGAGAAGTTGACTGCAATCCCAAGGCAAAGAGCAGCTTAGCCTTGCGAGGATAAACTTTAATCTCTACCTAATTGTTCAGCATAAAGCACGAGCAGTTAATTATTTAACTAAAGTGATTAGTGATTTAGCACAGAGGCTCAAGGGAGGGAGAGCTGTCCTCCTTTCCATTTAAAGGTCCCTAACAGAGACCGTCCCCATTTGTGTTCCACTCACATCTGATCTCGGCACTCAGTCTTGGGAGACGACAAAAGCCAGGACACAATTATTTCCTCCAGTGGAAATCCCACTCTTGTGTGTGCCCAGAATCAAACTCCTTCCCACTAATGATGTCAAACTGGTTGTCAAAGGAGGCGACAGCTAGCTATACTTAGGGTGGTCCTCCCTAATGACTCAGCATCCACACGGAGACATGAAAGAGTGACCGGGAGCGCTGTGAGAAGCCAGGACTGCTGTAGGCAGCCCGGGACCCCCAGCTCCCTGCCCAGGCAACTTCCAATCTTCCACGGTGTCTTGCTTTAAGAGGCTTGCTTTAAGGTGTTTTAATAGAAAACTCAAGCTTTGCAATTGTTTCTATAAGTCACACATGAAAGTGGAGCAGTTGGGTTTTTGCGCCATGTGCCAAGGAGCTGGATTTTTTTTTTTCAAGGTTCATGTGAAGGATCATTTGATACTGCATTTGACTGGATTCGCAAAGAGAGAAACCAATATGGAGAAACGATGGTGAGGTTTAGCACGTATTTCTTCCGCAAAAGCTGGTACTGGCTGTATGAAAACCGAAACAATAGGACGCGCTACGGGGACCCTGTCCAAATCCTCGTCGGCTGGCGTGGAATCCCAGCACAGCACATAGATGCTTTCGTCCACATCTGGACGTGGAGAAGAGATGAGCGCTATTTTTTTAAAGGTAAAGATTCTTCCTGGATGGTTCTATTTATTTAACAAATTATTATTATTTTAATTTTAATTATTTATTTATTTTTGAGACAAGAGTCTCACTCTGTTGCCCAGGCTAGAGTAAGTGCATAAGCCTAGCTCACAGCAACCTCAAACTCCTGGGCTCAAGCAATCCTCCTGCCTCAGCCTCCCAAGTAGCTGGGACTACAGGCATGTGGGGCCACCATGCCCGGCTAATTTTTTCCATATATATTAGTTGGCCAATTAATTTCTTTCTGTTTATAGTAAAGAGAGGGTCTCGCTCTTGCTCAGGCTGGTTTCGAACTCCTGATCTCGAGCAATCCACCCGCCTCGGCCTCCCAGAGTGCTAGGATTACAGGCATGAGCCACCGCACCCAGCCTATTTATTTAACAAATTATTAACAGTAAATGTTTGAGCCCTTACCAAGGAATCTATTGTATTGCTATTGTCATTACCTGCTTAATTTCTGTCTGCTCCATCAGACTGGAAGTTCCATAAGCACAGGGATTGGGTCGTATCTCCTGATCTTTTTTTTTTTTTTAATGAGAATAAGGAAGCTTGATCCTGATCTTTTTAAGAAGGTGCTCCAGTTATCCAATGAATGAAGGAGTGAACGAATTTTGCTAGGCACTGAGGTGGTTGCCAAAAAACTGTAAGAAAGGGCCCTGCTCTACAGACGTTTTAATCTGGCTCTGGAGAAGGGGAAAAAAAACACACAAAACTTGGAAGCCCCCCAATATAAGTGTTTTTAAGGGGTAGACCAAGCAGAAAAGGTGATCAGTGCCACCTGGAATCGGGTGCTGGCGTCCAGAAGTCAGGGCTTGGGTGGGATCCGAAGGCGCAGGAAGGGCACCTGGGATGGCGTGAGAGAGGGTGGGTGGTCAGGGACAGGCTGCAGGGGCAACACCTGAGAGCTGGGAATGACAAAGACACGTCTGTGCAGCAGTGGGTTCAAGGTGTGGCAGGGGACGAACACAGGATGAGATCAGGCTGGAAAGACGGCTGGTCCAACCACGGAGAGCCTCAGGTGCCAGCAGGGTCAGGGGCTAGACTTGGCTGAGCAGACGGGGAGGAAGCAATGGCAGTTTCTGAGCAGGGAAGGTCAACGTCTTGCTGGGAGGCAGAAGCTGTGGTCATGGTGAACGTGCAAAGGGCAGCAGGTCTGGGCTTCCTGAAGCTGCTTCTCCCTATTCCCAAAGGCCCGGTCAAGGACTTCCGTACCCAGTTCACATACGCACGCTACCTTTGCAAAACCAAGGCGTCTGATCACAAACATGATTTTGTGGTCACTGATCTTTCCTTCCCCTTTCCCACGCAGAGACAAGTTTTGTACACTCTCCCTGCCTGAATCCTAGTAACACAAGCATATTGCTTCAAATTGCTCAAAAAGTTGACAAGAGCCAAACTCAAAGAATTTTATATGCAAATTTTATCATAAGGATCCTGTGTATAAATCTGGTCTTAATTTTCCTTCACATTACACAAAGGAAGAATTATTTTAATTCTGTTGCATGAAGAAATTGCCTTCCAGCAGACTTTTACAGTTCAAGTCTTTCAGAGTTGGAAGCACATCTTTCAGGGCTTTTAGAAGTCCCAAACTAGAATTTATGTTGGCAACACTCAATCTTAATTATAGAATTAGGTCATCATGGGGAACTGCTAAAGTACAGCTGTATTTTATTCTTGGAGCTTTAAAAATGTCTTTAATTTGCTATACTTTAAATTAAAAAAAATCCAGTTAACGTGAATTAATTGCATGTCTAACTGGACATATGTCACATTGTTCTCAATCACAGACTTTTCCAAATATATTAAATATTTGGTTGCTAAGGAATGCAACTGCTTCAGGTACTCTATGAGTTGTGAACACTGAAGTATCTAACTCAGTGGATTTAGTCTATTGTGTGTTGGCAACATGCCAAGTATGCAGGATTAGGAACTAGTAAGAAAAGCCCAGAATAACCCCCTACTGTTTCAGAGCATAAAATTAGCATTTGAACTTTGAAACAAAATGGAACAAAGTTATAAGGTATCATTTCATAGGACAGTGGGTAGAGTCTCATTTAGGTACAATTGGAGAGCCCTGGGTTGTGTCCCTGGCTTGACCTAGGCTGTCTGAATTTGGGTGAGTAGCTTCAATTCTTTATGGTAGTTTCCTTATTTGTTAAAATGGAGGTGGTGGTGGAATTAGATGATTCTAAAACACTGGAAAAAGGTATAATCCAAAAATAAGCATCATGATTTCTTCTATAAAAAGAGGGTTCACATCGATGATGACAGGAAAATGATTCCCACCCCATGGACCACAAACATGTAAAAGGAAGATCTCTAGACTATAAAGAAAGAAGAAAAAAACTAAGATACTTAAGGTAAAAAAAAAAAAAAAAATCACACTATTTTTGTTATTTTGTTTCTGCTTTTGATGAGAGCCAAAAGGATGATGTTCATGGGCTGGAGTTCACTGTGAAAGTGAAAGCCCAACATTCTGACTGCAGCAATGATCTGTAAGAAAAATGCATCACTGGGGTCAAATCTAGAAGGAATTCAAGAGCTGGCAAAATCACTGAGTGGAGGCTTCACTCAGATGCTGAAAGCCCTTTCTCCTGGGATCATGGCTGAACGGCACACATGACTGGCTGAGACCTACACTGAAAGCTGTCCTTCTTGTCATATTCCCTGTTATTTAATATTCATAAACCACATGAACATATTTTGGTTGGCTCTCAGGAAATCAATACTGGAGATATGACAGTGACAAGGATCAGGCTTATGCAGAAGATGAAAGAGGAAAAAGCTACCCCAAATTGATTTCAGAAGGGTTTCCTGGTATCCCAAGTCCCCTGGACACAGCCTTTTTTGACCGGAGGCAGCAGTTAATTTACTTCTTCAAGGAGTCCTTGGTAAGTGGAAGGCTCTCCAGCCTAACACTGCTTCTGTCACCCTTGACTGGGATTTGTCAGATGACAAATTCTTAGTTAAATGCTGTTCTCAATTACTTCAGAGCTAAACAGCAATGACAGATCATTCAGATGGAAAATTAAGGTCAGGTCTGAAGAATTTGGTGCAAAGTCAGACTTACCTCCGTGATATAAAATAACAAAAATTAATAATGTTCAGAAAAGCCCATCTTACTGTCTAATTTACTTTGCAGGTATTTGCATTTGATGTCAACAGAAATCAAGTACTTAATTCTTATCCAATGAAGATTACTGAAGTTTTTCCGGCAATAGTACCGCAAAACCACCCTTTCAGAAACATAGAGTCAGCTTACTATTCCTACACATACAACTCCATTTTCTTTTTCAAAGACAACACATACTGGAAAGTAGTTAATGACAAGGACAAACAACAGAATTCTTGGCTTCCTACTAATGGCTTATTTCCAAAAAAGCCTATTTCAGAGAAGTGGTTCGACATTTGTGATGTCCACATCTCCACACTGAACATGTAATGACAAAGAGGAAACTGGAGACAGTCATAGGATTTCTCTTCCAAGAGAAAAAAATCTGACTTCTTTTACAAAGAAAACCAACCCGTTTTTTAGTAGCTAAAGTGAATATAGCTCCCTAAGCTAAAACCCAATAGAAAAAGCCTTATTTGAAACTTTCAAAGTACTTGATTTGAAAATCAATTGCTCAGGCAAAAAATAATTTACCAAATGATTTTACTAATTTTTTAGGAAAGGTTAAAAAAAACACACAATTAAACCCCAAGCACCTGGGGGAATCCCTGACTGTTTCCGCTCTCGGTGGAGCTCTGCTGCCGTCCCAACACCGCCCGCCCACCCGACCGTGGGCACTGGAGCAGCCAGAGCCACGGGCCAAGTCACCACGGAAGATGCCCATCTCAACTACATGGTGGTGATTTTACTGAGGGAGTCAATGGGAAAGGTCACAGAATTCAAATTACACTCCCAAATCCCTGTCACAACGACATTTCTCCAATGCTTGACAGTGCACAGGTTTTCGCATGTATTTGTCTCCTGATCTTCGCAACTCTGTCAGAGTAGCAGGTCAGATACTACTGTGCACGTTTCTAGTCCAAGAAACCGAACTTCATTAGTTGTGTCCTTCCAAAAGCCAAACCTAGTGGTAGCCCTGGGCCCCATCTCCGCATTCCCACCCAGTGCCCTCTGCACTTTCTTTCCATCCCTGTGGTGATCTCTGGCCCTGCCACCAGAGAGAGGTGCCCTCTTGTCTGAACGCACAGACCTGCATCCCAGATGGTCTTGAAGAGAACAGTTTTTCTGGCTGACTATAATTCATTTAGTGTTCTCTTCTTTTTGCAAAGCAGTAAACACTCTATTTGAAGCTAGTTGGATAATTTTATTTTTCCAGTATCAGTTGTATTTAGGATAGGCATCATGTCCCTTTAACTTTTACATAATAGAGCTATTAACTCTTTTTTTTTTTTTCTAAGATGGAGTCTCACTCTGTCACCTGGGCTAGAGTGCCATGGCATTAGCCTAGCTCACAGCAACCTCAAACTCCTGGGCTCAAGTGATTCTCCTGCCTCAAACTCCCGAGTAGCTGGGACTACAAGCCTGTGCCACCACACTTGGCTAATTTTTCTGTTTTTAGTAGAGACAGGGTCTCCCTCTTGCTCAGGTTGGTCTTGAATTCCTGACCTCAAGTGATCCTCCCGCGTCGGCCTCCCGGAGTACTAGGATTACAGGCGTGAGCCACTGCACCCAGCCAAAGCTATGTACTCTTAACCAAACAAAAAAACCCAATTATCATACGTAACAATGTGGACAAAATTTGGGCAATGAAATATTCTAAAAAAGATTCAGTAGCTTCAATGATCAGGCCCCAAATACATTTCTTCTAAAGGAACAGCTAAAAAACAGGTATTTTAAGAAGCTTTAATCTAAATTAAAATCAGCAATTCAAATGCATTTTATTTTCCTTCCCTGCAGGAACTTCCATGTTTTAGCTTTGACAAAGGAAAATAGCTAGAATTTATATTTTCTTGCTTAAAAACAAATTTTCCTCTTTACTGAAAGGCTGTTCAGCTAAGGAGAGGGTCTGGGAGACAAGACAAGCAACTCTAATACCCTGACCCCAGCTCATTTCTACATAAGCAGGAAAATCCTTTTTTCCTTCATTCACCCAAAAGATGATCGAATCAATGTTAAGTGTCCAGGCTGGACTAGCAGAGTAAAGACAGTCGTATCCTATGTGTGTGCACTTGCTGCAAGCAGAAACAGAAAGACAGCAGTCCTCAAATGAGACATTGTTGATTTTATACAACTGCTTTCCACAATTTGAGCAAAACTTTAAATGCTTCAGTAATTAATTTTTGCAAACAGATGCAAATCTGTCCCAGGGACAATGTGAACTAAATAAACAAAGAAGCAGACAAATGGCAAGAAAGAATTCTGTTAGGCTATGATGGATGTCAATTTATTGTCAATGAAAACACCAGAAAATCTGTGTAAGAGAAAGCAGTTTGTAAAAATTCAGCTTAAAATCAGCTTATTTCAGACAGTTCCTAGCGTGCAGGAGGGGCTGCTGGCCAACAGGGACGACCTGGGCATCCCCGCGTACACCTGCCCCAGGTCCAGGCCAGCACACCTGCCTGCAGCAGGGGCACACACAGACCTCACCCCACGTGGAAGAGTCCATCTGCTTTACAATATGTGACACTGCCTTCCGTGAAATTGAGAGTATTAATTATGTAGGACAAATACAGCCTTGTACACTGTAGGCATTTTAAAAAGAGTATGTTTGTATGCAACTGGACAAGAGCTACATAGCAGCAGCCAGTAATAAGTAAAATATTTTAGTGAGAATTTAGTGAATGGCAGAATTTCACTTTAAATGTTTTGAGCTTTACTTTGTAAAGTTTATTAGTCAGACTGAGTTCAAATAAAAACTCAATGTGAAGAATGCAAAATGGAAAAATACAAAGACATTTTAAATAAATAATTTATTCAAAATAGTTTTCTTACCTTATTCACAGTTTCAAGTTTAAAATTAAAAAAAGGGTAGTACCTATTCCTGATCATCATATAAAGTCAAAGGAAAGTGAATCCCCTCAGAACATGCATTAAATACAGTGAATTGCACAACAGCTTGTCTTTGAAAACTCCTGCACCGAAGCTTAAGGGCACACTTTCTTTCTGTGCAACTTAGAAGAAAACATCATAGATATACAGAAGTTTCTTTAACCCACTTGAACCTGTAAAATCATTTGGATAAAAGTTCTCTTGACCAAAGTAACATCTTATCCAAAATAATCATACCTCAAACTCATGTAGCTTAACATACTTCAAAAATATTTAAAAGTGTAATTGCATCACAGCAAGTCTATTAATATTGAGGTACTATGTACTTCTCAAATAAATAAATGCTGGAAGCTTTAAGTTGGATTTTGAGTTTAGCACTTCAAATGAAGACAAACTCAGCCATAATTCTTCTGTTGTAGGAAATGATAACTCTGTGTTTTCACTGTTGTACCTGTTTAAATGGATATTTCCCTCACATTTAATGAATGAAGCACCGAATGGACAAACCAGCTCCTGTGTTCGGAAGGCACTGACAGCGAGTCCGCGGCAGCCCCGTGCTCGGTCACTGAACGGCGCTGCTGCCCGCCCCGCTGTCCCCGCGGGCAAGCTGGCCCAGCAGGTGGATGATAACCTCGGTTCTCTCCAGAAGAGTTGCATTTTTGTTTGCGGTAGCTCTCAAAAGCTGGGAGTAAACTTGCTTGTTGGTTTTGAGGACTGCATCTTCTTCAATGTTACTGCTGGGGTTAAAAAAGAGACAGTTAAAGGGAACTTCGATGTCTGCCAACAGTTGAGAGATCCAAAAAAACCAACCGGAACAGCCCAGGAGTCACTTTTCAGAGAAGCAGGTGATCCATTACTGCCTGTTTCATACCTACCTTCTTATATCTATTGCCCATGGGCCTGTTTTTAGACATTTATTTCAATATATCAATTAAAACCAATGCTCATTTCTTTTATAAATATTAGAGTGCCTACTGTGAGCCAGGAACTGCTCCTGGCAGTCAACAAAACAGACCCCAAAGCCCCTGCCTTTGTGGAATTTGCATTCTACTGAGGTAGGAGTTGGGGGCGGGAGCACTGGGGGAAGACATACAATAAACACTTAAGGAAATAAGAGTGTCAGCTGAGCACGCCAGGAAGAAAATACAGCAGAGACCGGCTAGGGCGGGGGAGCCTCACAGTGCTAACAAGCACACATCTAGAGCAACTGCGGGCTGCAGGCTGCAGAGCTGGAACTCCCTCAGACTTTAAGCACGGGCTTCCGACAGACAGGAACTGCTGCACCTCAATTTACTCTAAAACTGTCAGTGTGCCTTCTGTGTGAGAATGCCCCTCAGCTGAAGAGTACTATATAGTACTCCATTTAAAAGCTATTTAAGTTTACAGTTTGTTCTGAGAATATTTACCCCTATGAAGGATCAGCATATTATACTTATGCTACTCCTGGAAAAGACCTGTGGTAACATGGCAGTACGTGGCAGTTCACCATATGTAACACAGGCACCACATGTAACACAGGCCCCTGGCTCATACAACCAGATAACAGCTACGCTTCACGACTCTTCATAGTATACATGACCACACCTGAGCCTTACAATAACCCTGTCCCTTCACATAGGCAAGATGAATATTTTTATTTTGTAGGTGTAAAAGCTAAGGCCCAGAAGGGTTAAGAAACAAGCAAAAAAATTCAGGCCAGAAGACAATGGAATGAGATCTTTAAAGTGCTGAAATAAAAAGACTGTGACCCAGAATTCCATACCTTGCAAAAAGATCTTCCAAAACTGGAAAAACAAATGAGGAGTCTCAGACAATCAAAAAGACAGAATTCACTGCTAGCAGACCTACACTATGAAAACGTTAGAGGAAGTTTTTCAGGCAGAAGGAATATGATGTCAGACAGAAAACAGTATATAAACAAGGAGGCAAAGAGTACTAGAAATGGAATAAATGAAGGCATGTGAAATTCCTTGTTCACTTTATTATAGACCGCTTTGCACTGAATCTTTAACTTCTCTAAAAGCAACTGGCTAAAGCAAAAGCTAGCAGCAGTATATTGTGTTTACAACATATATAAAAGTAAAATGTATTAATAATACAAATGATTGGAGGAAGGAATTGGGAGTATATTGTTCTAAGGTCTTTACAACACATGTGAAATAGTACAATATTATTTGAAGGTGGCCTCTGAATAAAGATGTATATTGCAAACCCCAGGTCAACTGCTAAAATAATTAAAAAGTGGTACAGATAATAAATGAATAGTGAGATAAAATGGAATCACAGAAAATGTTTAATTAACCCAAGAGAAAGCAGAAAGAGAGTCCATTAAATATGAATGTTATATAGACACCAATTATAAGATTGGATTAAAAAAATCAAGATCCAACTATATGTCATCTGTAAGAAACTGAATTTTAATATAAAAGAAGCTGAGTAGCTATATTAACATCAAAGACGGATATTACATAGTAATAGCAGGTCAATTCTCCAAGATATAACAATCTTAAATGTGTATGTACCTAACAGAACTTCAAAAGTACAAGCAAAAAGGTAGTGCTGACAGGAGAAACATACATTCACAACTGCAGCTGGAGACTCCAACACTCCTCTCTCAGTACACTGACAGAAGACCTGACTGATACTATGAACCCACTTAACCTAACCAACATTTACACAACGCTCTTCCTCAAACAGCAGGATACTCAGATTTTTCAAGTACATATAGAACATGTACCAAGACAAACCATATTCTAGGTCATAAAACAAATGTACACAAATGTGAAACAAGAGAACAGAGAACATACAAAGTTATGGTCTCGCACATAACAGAATTAAACTAGAAATCAATAATAGAAAGATATCTAGAAAGTTCCAACATTTAGAAATTAAATAGCACACTTCTAAATAACAAATGGATGAAAGAGGAAGCCTTGGGATATGGAATATTATTTTCAAATGAACAAAAAATAAAATATATCAAAATGTGTGAGATGCAGCAAAAGCAGTGCTTAAAAGGAAATTTTTCTTTTTTTCTTTTTTTTATTCTTTTTTGTCTATGGTTATGTCCTAAGAAATTTTTAGAAGTAAATTCTTATATTAAAAAAGAAAAAACTGGTCTCAAATTAGTAATCTAAGCTTCCACCTTAAAAAACCAGAAAAAGAGAAAATTAAGCCCAAAACAAGCAGAGGGAAGGTAATAAAGATAAGTACAGAAATCAATGACATTGAAAACAGAGAAATAATGAAGGGGGAAAAAAATCAACCAACTCAAAAATGCTGGTTCTTTGAAAAGATCAATAAAGAGAGACAAGATACAAATTATCAGTATCAGGAGGGCTATCACCAAGAAGGGCTATCACCACACCCCCCTTAGCCATTAAAAGGTTAATGAGGAGACAGTGTGAACCTATCCATTTGTCAAAGTAGATGAAATGGACCCCATTTACTAAAGAAAAAGGCAACCTACACAGTACTGTATCTCTGAAAAGAAACTCATGTCATTGTTCAAAAACTTCCAACAAAGCAAACTCCAAGTTAAGATGGTTTACTTGTAAATTCTAGTAAATGTTTAAGGAAGAAACAGTTCTAATTCTGCACAATCTCCTTCAGAAAACAGAAGAGGGGACACAAGCACACTGACTTTATGAGGCCAGCATTGTTCTAACCCAAACCGGAGAAAGTCACTTTTCACAAGAAAAATGAACTGAATGAAGATCAATATCCCCCATGCACAGACACAAAAATCCTCAACAAAATATCAGCAAATGGAATCCAGTAATACATAAAAAGAATAATACATCACAACAAAGTAGGGTTTATCCTTCAAATGCGAAGCTGGTTTAACATTTGAAGAATCAATACAATCCACCATATTAACAGACTAAGGGAGGAAAACGACATGGTCATCTCAACAGATGTAGCAAAAGCATTTGACAAAAACTCAATATCCATTCATGATAAAAACTCTCAGCACACTAGGAATAGAAGGTGCAGCATCCTCAATTTAATAAAGGCATCTACGGAAGCCCCGCAGCTGATGTTAGTAACACTTAATGGTAAGAGACTGAATGCTTTCTCCCTGAAAGCCTAAGGAGTTCAAGGTTGGGGAGAGGTTGACTAAAAAGGAACAACAGGAGGGAATTTTTGGAGTGATGGAACTGGTTGTGTCATCATTATGGTGGCAGACACACATCTGTATGCAGTGGTCAAAGTGTGAAGAACTGCACACCACAAAGAGTGAATTTTACTGTATATAAATTAAAGCATAAAAAAAATAAAGAGATAAAAATTATCTGTACCCTAAGATATAAATTGGTAAAATATACATAGGATAACTGATAACAATGGATGTATCAGGATAAATGGTTTTCTTTTTCTTTTCTCTATTTTCCGAATTTTGTAATATGGCCAAATTGTACTTATATTTAAAAAAAATAAAGGCATACTATTTATATTACTTTCCTGAACTAGTACTTACCCCTCGATTTTCAAATTAAATTACAGTACCAAAATAATTACTCTAGCATAACAACGTAATTGTACAAGATGATACAGGTATGTGAGAACATCTTTTGCTAAGGTGCTCACTCTTCTTTTCTTCTAATTTCTTGGGCTTTAGGAGAGACCTTGATGCTCTGTCATCTACTTTGCAGTGTACTTGACCCTTAGTATCAAAACAATAGTCCAGACTTCCCATTAAAGACAATGGTCTGAAGTGTTACTAGAAACATTTAGGATCTTCATTCCTGGGCCATTCCTCTTTCTCTGAGAAAATTTTATTAAAAACACGGTATTTACCCTTAGGTAAGATTTTTTTGTATCTCTAATCTCAGTATGTACTAGGCTGCATGGAGATGATTCTCATCTAGTTTATTAAGCAAGAAGGAACGCCACTTAAAAATCCTGACCTATCCACATAAGAGATAAGAAAGAATACAACCTATCTTTTTTTTATAATGTCAATATAGATTATTTATATTATTTTTATAGGTAAGGTGCTGGGAAAGAAATTCCCACAAAAAAACATTAATTTACCTTGTTTTCTTTTTCGTAGAAGACAGCAGTTTGATGGACTGAAGGAGAAGAAACAACAACCGAGATTCAAATATACTGAGCAGTTTTATCACTTCTTCTTGATTAAGACTAGGAGAAGAATCGGCAGCTGGAGCACTCTCACCACTCTTAGGCTAAAAACAACAAAAAATTATTTCACTTAAGCTATCCAACAACTGTAGTTTCATACTAAAGTGATGGAAGTTTCATTAATACAGTAAACTTTTTAACCAAAACAACAAACAAAAAGCACACCTGAGATCACTTTGATAAACTAAAGCATATAATAAAAACGTCTCGTACCTAATAGGCATCTGGATAGAAGAAAATAATCCTGAATGAAAATATCATAACTTCTCATCATCAGACATAAAATGGAAATGGGTATTGGACAGAATTTGACCAACCAAAGTGAGGGAAGCCACAGGTAGGTGTACTGTGGGGACTTAAGGAAGCTTTTAGCAATAGCAGGTGGCATGAATGCTAGAATGCCCAGAAAACTAGAAATTCCTTCTCTAGGAGTCTGTTTAAGCCCCCTCACCATTAAACTGCTCCCAGGCAGTTTAGTGGAAATTATGAAAGAGGACATAGGCCTTTCTTTCACTTAAAATATAAGCAAACAAAAACCCCCAGAAAACAAAAAACAACGTAAGAGACTTTATAACTTGCTAGCCAATACCTTGCTAATAACCATGGTCTATGGGCCTCATTAAGGCATACTCTTACAAAACTTTCAGATATAAAAGAAAGGAGTTTAATTCTACCAAGCAAAATAAGAAATCACTGTTAATGTGTTTTTATGCAATAGTATATATGTACAAGTGTTTTTACATACACACACAAAATATATACATACATAAACACATACCATATGGCCGCTGTATATGTTCACACCCAAGAAAAAGACACTGATTTTCTCCACTTACCTGGTCAAATTCCTCTACAAGATCCTTCCGGATGAGCTGGAATGAGTGCTCAGTTCTCACCATTATATCAAGAGCCCCAGACAGTGTTTTCAATTTCCCAACATTGCTATTTTGACCTGAAGTATTTAACACAAAGTGATCATTCCTTTAAATATAAATCTAGAAACCCATCTAATATTAACATAGTCATGAAAATTTTGATTTTTAAACACCATAAAGGAAGCTCTTGAGAATCTCAACAAATCTTCTAAATCCAACTTCTACTGAATAATTTTCCCTTGAGAAAAATATTAAGTCTAACAAAAGCAATAAATAATTATTGTTTCCCTGCCTTACCATTTGGTTTTGTCCAGCTGAGAACACCACCTTTTTCAGAATAGAAGCCAGTACCTGAAGCATTAGGTTAAAGGGGACCAGTGGAGAGGAGGCTGGGGTGGATGGCCACCCCATTATTTATCAGTTGTAAATGGTCAAGGGATGTTGGTCCAAGTCACTTAAGCACTTAGCACCAGTTGTCTTACCTGTAAAACAGGTGTATTACCTTTCTGTTCAAGGCAGAAGTCAGACCAGATGAACAAGGTTTCATTTATGAACCTTATGAATAAAACTTTTCTATAGCCGTAAGACGTTACAAAGCACCTTTGCTCTTGCTCTCCTGGAGCTGACATTCGATTGTATATGTGGCGGTGCAGCAAAGGTTTACTCTCGTCCAAACAGAGGTCTGGCCTTTGTCCCTGGCTCTCAGAAGGTGATCTGTAAGCCCTTGAAATGTCCTGCCTGATAAGAGTGTCTTTGTTTACCTGGGAGGCCTTTGGCCACACTGGATAGTTTAACAGTATGATTTACTATATGGGGTGCAGGCCCCATGCTAACAGCTGGATTCCCAGAGGGGCTGGAGACTAAGATCAGCCACAGGGCAGTAAACTATGTCTATGTGACCAAGTGCAATAAAAACTCTGGACACCAAGGCTTCGGTGAGCTGCCCTGGTTGGTAACACTCCATGAGTACTGTCATATCAAACATGATTGCTAGGGGGAGTTAGCGCCATCTGTAACTCCACTGGGAGAAGACAAACTGGAAGCTTCATGCTAGGAACTCTCCTGGATTCTGCCTCACGTGCCTCTTCCTTTGGCTGGTCTTAATGCATATCCTTTTGCTGTAATTAACCATAAGCAGATAAGCTTTCAGTGAGTTCTATGAGTCCTTCCAGTGAACTGCCAAAGCTAAGTGGTGGTCTAGGGGACGCCCCAACCCTACAGATGGGGAGGAAATAACTGTTTCCTTCTTCCTTTAAAACATAATCTTCAGGCCGGGCGCAGTGGCTCACGCCTGTAATCCTAGCTCTCTGGGAGGCCGAGGCGGGTGGATTGCTCAAGGTCAGGAGTTCGAAACCAGCCTGAGCAAGAGCAAGACCCCGTCTCTACTATAAACAGAAAGAAATTAATTGGCCAACTTATACAGAAAAAATTAGCCGGGCATGGTGGCGCATGCCTGTAGTCCCAGCTACTCGGGAGGCTGAGGCAGCAGAATCGCTTGAGCCCAGGAGTTTGAGGTTGCTGTGAGCTAGGCTGACGCCACGGCACTCACTCTAGCCTGGGTAACAAAGTGAGACTCTGTCTCAAAAAAACAAAAAAACAAAAAAAAAAAAACATAATCTTCAACTTTCTAAATAACCTGTTATCTTTAAAATTAATGGACAAATGTGATTTCAGTATCAGTGTAGATTTAGCATCTGGAGGACAAGCTATTTATTATGTATGAAAATGCTGTTGAGGCAGGAACCAGATAATAAAAACATTAGGAAGGTAAATTTGAGTCATATGTACTAGAGAAAAAAACATTTGATAAAATAGGAGAATAGAAAGTGTTATAAACTAGAGCATTTATTAACTTGGCTCATAAAACTCACAAACTTGGCTAAGAAAGCCCTCTAAAATATTTACATCATTTTTCTAATATAGTCATATACTAAAACATTTTTAAAAAGGCATTAACTACATTTATGATTTGAGCAAATTTGTTCCCAGTATCTCTCCATAAAAATGATGCCTGCTCATTCTAAGGAATTCAAACAGAGCAGAAAATTCAAAGATGCAAGTAAAAACTGAAGATCACTCCAAACCCTCCCCTAGAAAGGGCTACTGTTAATCCTAGTAACTATCCCACACATCTAGCCATGTATTATATACTGGAAAAAAGAAACAAAAACAAAAATAATTTTAATAAAAAGTATTTGCAGAAACTGTTTTAGATAGGTAATACATTCCCAAATTTACAAGATTCCCAGCCTCCCAGGTTCCCTCCCCAGAGGCTGCAACCTGTGTCCTGGGCATCCTCTCGGGGTTACTGCATACCTATACAAAGTCATATACAGTTAAAGTATTTGTTTTAATTTTATAGAAGAAAAAAACTGAAATGAAACCAAATGAATTGCCACACTTCAAATAATTGTTTCTTTACCAGACAACAGTTATTTCTCAAAAGACCCCTCTGCAAGAAACGGGAGCTGGTGAGCAAGACGGAGAGAACTTAGGAAAAAAAGTTAAGTGAATGGAGTCTCTGTCTACTCCCGCCATGGAAAACAACAGAAAAAAGCATCTCTCTTTCTTTCTCCCAGTTGATCTCTACCTCAGTCAGGCTCTATAGCAGTGTCTATTCTAGAACCATAACCCAAAGCTGCGCAGTGTCACTTCTATGTTTAGAGGGATTTAGTAAGGACCACTACCCCTTACTGTTGCTCCTCCATTTCCAATTTTTCATACTGATTTAAATCTTTGTCTAAACTTACTTGTCAAAATTTTTTTCAAATAAGGGATTCATGAGCTATACTTCAATATTGCTAGTCATCGAACATAACTAATACATTTCTTTAAGTTTTAAAAAGCACTTCAAAAACTGTAGAGAGTTCTCCTAGTCCCTATCTGAAGCAATTAACCACGGGCAAATTAAAAAGAAAACAATATTACTTACATCCAAGAGAGATCCACAGGTCTGCCTCACTCTAAGACATTCCAACACTAAGCCAATGCATACATATCTGAGAAATGAAAAAGTTAAGACTTACTGGTCATCTGAAATTCTGCAAATGCTACTCTTTCTAACTGCACTCTAAGTAGTTCACAGGGAGCATCTTTCAGAAGCTGAAAAAGCGTTACAGCTTTGCTGTAATGGAGATCTGCCAGCACCCGGTGCTGCTTCCTAAGGTGTTCATCACCAACCTAGAACCAAAAATAAAATTTAAAAAAAAATCCTAAGGCTGGGGCTTCACAATAACGACTTAATAAGTGTTCAGACTGGGTCACTAAGCACTTTTTAATTGTTTTTTCCCCCCTATAAGTCTTAAGTTTTAGTTTTTACATTTAGGTCTTTCATTTTCAGTTCATTTTTGTCTACAACGTGAGATAGGAATCCAATTTTATTCTCTTGCATGTGGAAGTTGTCCCAAAACCATTTGCTGAAAAGACTATTCTTCCTCTACTGATTTCTTGGCACTCTTAAGCTTGCTTTTGCTCTCAGGATATTAGGCCATCTGGGCAAACTTGAATTTTGGTTGCAGGCCTCCTAAAGCAAAGTATTAATAGAAATCCTCTCCAGATTAAGCTGGACCTCAAAGGACAAGACTTTCAGGATAAGGGCAATGCAGAAGTAAACCCATGCCAAAGGACTATAAGGGAAGCTATCTTTGGACTAAGCAACGGGGGAAAAACAATAAAACAAACAAAAACCATCACTGAGAAACCATAAACACAAGACTCCAGGCAGAAGCAATGCAATCTCTCTGAAGGTACTTTTATCCTAGGCCCCAAATTGTTCTTAGAAATACATGCAATTGAGCGTCAGGATTCATGTATAACACTGTTGATACTGGATTATTTCTAATAGCCTCAAACTGGAGCAACCCAAAAGTTCATTAATCATAGAACAAATAAGCTATGATGTATTTATTTAATGAACACTATGGAGCTGAGAAAATGAACAGCTAGCTACATGCACCAACAAGGATGAATCTAAAAACCTGGTGTTAAAGTGAAAGGCAATAAGCCACAGAAGAACACATACAGTATGATTCGTTTTATAAAGCATACAACAAAGTAAAATAGAAACATATTGTTTAAGTGGCAAAAACAAAAAGGGTATGGACATAGGACAGCAGTTCATCTGGGTGGTGTCGAAGGAGGCACACCTGGGGGCTCCCTAAAGTACTCTTCTCCTTAACTGCCAGGCCAGGGGTTTCCTTTTGTTATCTTTTAAACCGTATATATGTTCCACACATATTTCTATGTGCTTTTATATGCATGCTCTATTTCACAATAAAAGATGGGAGACCATACTTTAAAATTTGCATAGAAACATCACTAGAAGGCCTAACCATGTTTTAAAAAATCTAAATAACACACCCAGGCAAATACATAATTTTGCAAACTAAGACCCAATTATAGTAGAGAAAAATATATGGTATACATGAGAAAAACACCTACAAGTTTTTCTAAAGTAGCTAGTCAGAATAGATTCCATTTAAAATATATATGGAAACGTAAGAAAAGCATGCAGAAAACTTTGAACTGACGCGGCATTGCGCTGAAATCGGAATGACAGTACCTGATTCCGCAGACAGCTGTGGTACATGGACGCCAGCCTGTGGTGGATGGTTGCAGCCCGGTACTGACAGAGAGGCTGTCGCGCAGACACCGAATCAACGTCGCAGTATTTCAGGGACTTCATCATAGCTTCACTGACTTCTTTTTCAATCTATTTTTTTTTAAGGGGGAGAAAAAATAATACAAACTCATAATATGACTATAAGAATTTTTAAAATGTTTCAATACTCCTTGTCAAGGAAAAGATGACAACAGATGCTCAGTATCTGTTAAACAAAGGAATAGATGAGGTTGAGGACTTATTTTATAATCCAGCAAATGTTACCTGCTCCTGAGCTTTTCTAGATAATGGTGCATAATCTTGCTGTAGAGTTGCCATGGTAAAATAAGTAGTGGACAATTCCCAATTCACCGAATCCCAAACAGCTGGGTGTATATCTCGTGTTCCCAGTGATCTCAGAGCTTTCAAATAGTAATCGACAGCCTGCGAGGGAGGAAGAAGTGAGGATTTCTGACTCAGTCTGAACATAATACCAATACTGCAATAAAATGAAACATATTTCAAAACTACCCAGATGTTAATTTGATTTTGGGAGAGTTTATAAAAGGACAATATTATGAGGAAAGGAAAAATGTCGATGAACACATTTTACTGAAGAAAGTTATTTAAAGTGTACTGAACGCTACTCCACATCCCCATCTCAAGCCTGCAGGACGCCAATCCTTAGTGCTGTTTTCTGACTCATGCTGATGCATTGTCTTCCTATGGGTTTTTTTCTTTCTAAACGAAAATTACAGTTTATATAACTAGTAAACTAGATTTAAAACTGCAGATGTTTACGGTGTAAAAAGAAGTAACTCCTTCCACTTTGTCACCCCATCCTCTAATACATGGCCATTGTATTTAAACAAACAAAATCACAGAGCAGTAATGTCCTCATTTCTGGTGCGTATTTGTTCATTCTTTTTCTGTGTGTATATACACTTAAAAATGAAAAATAAAAAGGCCGTCATTTTTATTTTCAACTTTGCTAGCGCCTCGAACATTCTTCACTAATTTTCATTTTTAAATGGCTTCAAAGTACTTGATTACGTGTTTGCCTCCTTGCCCCCTCCCCGACATGGATGCTGTCATTTGCCAGAATCTGGCAATGTCATGAATAAAGGAAACTCAATTTTTAAATTTGAAAAAAATTTAAATTTTGCCATTTTTTTACATACGTATTAGCCACTTTTTTCTAAATGTATATATTTTATGTTCAAGGTCATTTGCCTTTGTATTTGGGTGGTTTATTTTCATGATTCTTAATTCTTTTTATATATTAAGGTGTATTAACCACTGACTGTGTGTGTGTGTAAGTATTTTTCCTAGATTGTGGTTTGCTTTCAATTCACTTCTTATTGTGCATCTTGTAAACCTTTGTTTTTATATATTTTAAGTTTATTCAACTTTTACCTGGGATTTCTGTTTATTGTGCCAAGTTGAGAAAGTCCTTCCCTGCTCCATCGTATAAAATTCGTATCTGTATTTTCTTCTGGCAACTTTTACAATTTCACTTTCTCCATGTCCACGTTTAATCCATTTGACATTTACTCTGGTTTCACAACCAATCTGCTAATCCTATTTTCCCTACCAAATTCAACATGCCATCTTCACATACTAATTCTTACTATTTTAACAAGTTTCTAAGTGTTTAATGATCTGGTCTACTCCTGTGACATCCCATAGTTTAACTGTATTTGTTTTTATGATATTTTAGGGGAACCATGGTAACGTGTAAATAAACAACAGGTGTGAATGGATGAGGCCCAACATATAAGCAAACGTGTTACCTTATTAATACAAGCCTTCTTCTGTAAAATTCACGTTTGAATTCATCACTGGCACCACAATGTGCCTGTGCACAGATTCTCATGAGCCTTCCCGTGTTACATAACAAAAGAGCAGCATTTGTAGCGTCCTCAATTGACTCAAAGTTGTGATCCCCTTTTCGAAACAGAAAAGCTCCTTTTTCCATAACTGTTGCTCTGCGGCAGACACGACTTGCTCACTTCACAAAGAAAGAAACAACTGTGTAAGCAAACATCAGTGTCAACTCTGCCACCGCCTCTTGATGTGCTGATGGAGAGGAGAATGGCAATGACAGGAGGCTGGTGGAGAGTCTCCCATCTGGAGTCAACCCAGCACGCCTGCTGTCATCATGCATGTTACATGAAGGGAAGGGTGCCCCTAAAATTCGTATGTTGAAACCCTAACCCCCAGTCCCTTAGAATATGCCTCTATTTTCGACAGGGCCTTTAAAGAGGTAATCAAGCTTAAATGAGGCCATAAGGGTGGGCCTCATCCAACATGACTGGTATCCTTATAAGAGGGAGAGACACTGAGGAGGGCACACAGAGAAAAAGACGGCCATCTGCAAGCCAAGCAGAGAAGCATGGTTGGAATCCAACCCTGCTGGCAACCTTGATCTTTAACTTTCCAGCCTCCAGAACTATGAGACTATAGTTTCTTTTGTTTAAGTCACCCAATCTGTGGTATCTGGTTATAGCAGCCCTGCAGACTAATACAGTAGTCTCCCCTTATCCGTGGTTTTAGTTATTGTGGTCAACTGTGGTCTGAAAAAAATGGAAACTTCCAGAGATAAATAATTTGTGAGCTTTAAATTGTGCACCATTCTGAGTAGCCTGATGAAATCTCTTGCCATCCTGCTCCACTCTGCCCAGGATGTGAATCATCTCTGTGTCCAGCATCGCCACACTGTATGTGCCACCTGCACTTACTCACTTGTTTGCCACCTGGGTTCTCAGAGCAACTGTCATAATATTTACTGTGCTGTGTTCAAATAACCCTCATTTTACTTAACAATGGCCCAAAGCACAAAAGTAGTGGATGTTGACATATTGTTATAATTGTTCCACTTTATTATTACTGTTGTTAACCTTTACTGTACCTGTTTACAAATTAAACTTTAGTATGTATGAAAAATACAGATATATAGGTCTGAGACTACCAACGGTTTTAGGTATCCACTGGGAGTCTTGGAGTATTCCCCTGTGATAAGAGGGGACTACTGTACAACACTTAAGCATAACTCTCCTCAATATTAACTGATATTAAAACAAGCAATAAATATCTAAGCAAAGCACCATTTGTAAAGATTCAAAAGCTGTAGTCCCATGGAGTTTTAGAGGTTATAATCTCTTAAAACCTGTGTTTTATCCAACTCTCCTAGCTTCCTGACTCCTCCCATGTTCCCTGGATGACTTCCTCCTCCAGAAGCACCAATAATGCATAGGCTATCCTGACAGCATGGAACTCCCTGGGGCGACATTTGTATCCCTAGTGCCAGGCATAGCCCACAGATCAACAGACACACAGATATGCCTCCTTATTTACCTGCCACCCTCAGTTCCCCTCAGCCCTTCGTTTGCCATACTGTGTCCACCCTTCATATTTTCATCCAGTCTCATGGCTTCAACTATCACCTTTATGTGAATAGCTCTCAATCTATGTCTCACTGGCCCTAAAAGCTTCTAAGCACATTTCTAATCAGCTACTAAATTAGACCTTTTCACACACATGTTCCATAGGTGTCTCAAGCTCAACATGGCCCAACTGACTCATCATGCCATGCCTGACTCATACAGGGCTGCCATACTACACATTCACGGGACCTTCCACCTCTGGCTTCTTCCTAGTGCTGCCTGCTCAGTCTGGAAAGCCCCTTCCTCACGTTTGCCGGCAGACTTCCACACATGCTATACCACCCTGCTCAACTATATCTTCCCAAAAGCCTTCCTTCCAAGAAGCCTACAACCTCAGTAAATACCTCCTTTCCCCACTTTCCTATTGTACTTCATTTGTACTTATCCACAACATTGATCAGAAATTGTATTCATATCTGGCTTCCCAAGTAGAAGGAGGGACCATGCGGTAGCCAGTTACATATCTAACAAAGAGCCTGGCACATGGCTGGTTGTCCAATTTGCTTCTGAATCGATAGGATGAAGTATAAAAGTGGGAACAGAGAACATAAAAATGATAGATCCCAAGGGAAAATAATGGTTTTCTCCTAAGTTTATTTCTTGAGAACTTAAAAATTCTCTAACAGAGCAACCCTTTATGACATAAAATCAAGTGCCAGTTACTTTGCTTTACTCATAAAAAAAAAAAAAAAAGCATAATTTTCCAATAGAACAGGCAATGAAGGGATCCAAAGAGGTACTCACCTACTCTCTCGCTCTGTAATGCAGCCGCCTGATTCATTATAAAACACACCGATCTCATTTCTAATGTTACCCATTCTCTTCATTACTTGGACATAGTGTTCTGGATTCTGGCTTTTTAAGTCACTAAATTGCAAGATTTCATTAGCAGCCTCATAACATTTACAGCTAACAGAAAGTTGACTTTCTAAGTCTGTAGACAAATCAGTTGCCCATGCAAATCCTTAAAAGAAAAAAATAAGTCAGTATCAATGCAAGTTATGTGAAACCTTTTTTAGTAACTAAGGGAACCTGACTTTTTTAAATTCAAAATAATAATAAATATTCTGCAGCAGTATGTTCTTTAAAAAAAAAAAAAAAAAATATAAAATGTAAACAGTATAAATATAAAGATTCAATCAATGTAATAATTTTAAGTTTCATAGTAAAGATCACTTTATTTATGAAACTATTTTTTTAGACATTAATGTTTGATTAATAGAAATATTTTCCTGTCCATAAACACCAAACAATTCCTATCACCAGGATTTTCCCAGGTTACTTCTTTACTGGTATAGACCTAAAGTTAACTGCTATATAAAAGTTTTTTTCATTAAATTGATAAAAACAGTTCTTGAAATAATGTTCCAATGTTACATTTAAGTCACTGAAGAAGCTGTTAGACAAGTCCTCAAAGATTTAAAAATGCCATCTAGTGGAGAATGGAGTAAACTTAGGCACAGGACCCAAATTCAAGGAGAAAAAGAAACAATACTCCTTCCCCAAGAACATGGTGCTGCTAAAAAAAAGAAAAAGAAAAAAATAAGAAAAAAGGTAGTACTCCTGTTGGATAACACTCAAATATATGGCAAAACATCACTCTCACAAAGAAGTATTTTACATGAAATTGCTATGACAGGAGTGGTCAAACACAGAGGATGTTCCCACTGTCTATTAAAATAAATAATCATTTGAGAAACAAAGGAGAGGAAAAGAGAGAAAAATATTAGGAAATAATCCATTCCTCTACTCTCCCAGTGTACTCCTCTAGCTGTCGACTGTCAAAAACTTTTTGGGGCCGGGCATGGTGGCTCACGCCTGTAATCCTAGCACTCTGGGAGCCCGAGCGGGCGGATTGCTCAAGGTCTGGAGTTCGAAACCAGCCTGAGCAAGAGCGAGACCTCGTCTCTACTATAAATAAAAGAAATTAATGGCCAACTAATATACATAGAAAAAATTAGCCGGGCATGGTGGTGCGTGCTGTAGTTTCCCCAGCTACTCGGGAGGCTGAGGCAGGAGAATCACGTGAGCCCCAGGAGTTTGAGGTTGCTGTGAGCTACGCTGACGCCACGGCACTCACTCTAGCCTACCAAGTAAGAAAAAATGTCTAAAAAAAAAAAAAAAAAAAACTTTTTGGGAGGTAGATGTCAAGTAAACAAAACAATTTAAAACCATAATAAAACAATCCCATGATACAAAAGCACCTTCAGAAGATTCCCTAATTGCAATGTGCTACACAACTGTGTTGAACTGAGGAGGAGGGACATTGATGCTATGGGTTAAATTACCCTGTTTCCCAGTTTTAAAGTGTGACAGTTCCAAACAGTGATATTTTCAATAAGATGACCAGCTATTAACTAAATTTAAAAAATGATGATCATAATCCCAGCTATTCAGGAGGCTAAGGCTAGAGTATTGCTTGAGCCCTGGAGTTTGAGGCTGCAGTGAGCTGTAATCATGCCACCACACTCCAGTCTGGGCAACAAAGCAAGATCCCCCCCAAAAAAAAAAGATGATCACTTTCTCTTAACCCCACAGAATCATTCAGAAAGCAATTAATTCACTTTCACCAATTGTTACACCTTTTGAAAAGAAAATACAGGGCTTGGTTAACTGATTAAAAGTATTACCTAGAAAAACCTCATGAAAAGAAGTGTACAGGCCAGGCGCAGTGGCTCACACCTGTAATCCTAGCACTCTGGGAGCCCAAGACAGGCAGATAGCTCAAGGTTGGGAGTTCGAAACAAGTCTGAGCAAGAGTGAGACCCCGTCTCTACTAAAAATAAAAACAAATTAATCGGCCAACTAAAATATATAGAAAAGATTAGCCAAGCATGGTGGTGCATGCCTGTAGTTCCAGCTACTCGAGAGGCTGAGGCAGAAGGATTGCTTGAGCCCAGGAGTTTGAGGTTGCTGTGAGCTAGGCTGACACCATGGCACTCTAGCTCAGGCTACAGAGTGAGATTCTGTCTCAAAAAAAAAAAAAGTGTACAAAGTCAACACAATTGCCTTCAGAACTTATTTTATGATTAGTTCTGGTCAAATAATCAGTAACTACAACATATTTGAAAACCATTTTATACCAATACGCAAGATCATGCTCAATTTTAAAATTAAGAAATGAAACAATAAATATCAAAACACTAACATTTCTGTCACTTTTCTGTACATACTCAAATAAGCACTGGAATGAATAAGTCCATCGTGAATCAAGTGAGTGTCTCTCTGGCATACCTTGACAACTGGACTCTCTGTGAAGACTGTGTAATATCTCCTGATCTTCTTTTGTTTGGTAATTAAACTCTTCTAGGTGTGCTGCTCTATTATTTGCATTTTGGGCCAGCATTAGTTGGATATCACCACAAAGTGTCAAATATTGAGAAAGAAACAGCAGCACTTCAGAAAGCATATTGGTGCAAAGGCAGCAATATGTGTCTATTTGGAAAAGGTGGAAAGGAGAAAAAGCACAAGCACATTAAAAATTAATGAACACAGTAAATACAAAGAAATAAAAAGAAAATGTGTTACCAGCTGAAAGCTCTGTACCACTGCATCTACTTTAAGTTTATTTTGTGTCAGATACATATATAATGGCTTCATGTATTTCAAAATGAAGAGATGTTAAACCAATCTAAGCAGAAACTAAAATACTAGGTCACATACACAGGATTAGAAAAAGGAATTTTAAAATAAAACTTTACAACAGAAATAGGAGTAAAATCTGATTGTGATAGAGAGGCCTTCTCCGTTCCCCTCCCACATTTGTTTACAGGCTTACCGTGGCTCTGCAAAGCTAACTTAATGTATCGTAATGCTCTTCCATACTTCTGAAGACTCATGGCAGCATCAGACAAAACGTAATAGGCCTTTGATGACTTGAGGATCAGCTGAAGCTTCATTTTATGTTGCCAAGAACCAGGGATCATTCCAGATTGACTGGAGTAATTACCCTTCTGAAGGGAGCCCACTGTGACATGGGGAGAAAAAAAGGCAGCACCATTTGAATATAAGTCTCCCAGTAAAAACTATTTTCTGTTTCTTGACAGAAACACTCCAGACTTACGTACTATTGCCACAAGACTGGGAAATTCTATGTTTTACTGTTTAAATGCAATAAAGTGGTAATGTTTAAACAGACTCTCACTTGTTTCCCTGCCGTCAGCAGCTCTGTCATTCTCTTCCAGGGTCCCTGACGTAGCTAAACTCATAACTGAGACTTGTCTCCTTTCTCCAATCTGTGTGTCAATCTGCCAAAAAGTTTACCTTCCTAAAGCACAGCTTTAATCACCGTCAAAGCCTGTCCTCCAAGATTAAAATGGTTTCTTACCTCTTCAGGCCAAGCACCTCAGCCTACTTCCTAAGCTACATGTTTTCAGTCTTACTTCCCACCACTCCACCCCTACTATGCATCAGCCGACGTCAAGTTACTACTTGTCACCTACGTACATGTCGGTTTCTTCCTGTCTCCCCTCTAAATTAACTGTCTCCTCCATCAGGAATACTCTTTATTTAAATTACTCTTCATTCAGCAAATGATCACTTTTGTGCCAAGCACTGTGCCAGGCACTGAAAACAGTGACATGAAGTTATCAGCCTCTATCCTTGAAAACATAAACTGCAACAAAATATATTAAGTGTAATTCCAGAGATAAGAACAAAATGCTGTGGAACAAAATGTTCCAAAAAGAAAAACAGATTCCCTCTCCTCCAAGCTTTGAGATTTCTCATTTTCTGATCAGCTAGAACACATGAATCTTTCAAGGCAAGAAAGCACTTAGTCTCCATTATAGTTTAAGGTGTGCATGTGTCTTTTTCCTCTATTGCTATAAGCATCATCTCTGTGTGTGAAGCATTGTGAGAGAACTAAAGATGAATAAGATGAAGTTCTTGCTCATAACTGTGTTTGTATGTTTTAACACTATGATACAAGGCTGGTTCAGAGGACACAGTGGCAAGGGAATCAAGTAATTATGACTGTGGACAGGGGCAGGCATAGAGATTTTGAACTTGAGTGGGATTTTTCAACAGGGGAGATGGAGAAGGAGGAAGAGACAGAAAAGGCATTTCAGGAGAAAGTCCCAGTGTGGTCCTCACTGCATGCAAGCTTAAGCCTGGCACACAAGCAGCACTATATAAATGCGGGGGAATAAATCTATTCTTCCCCCACCTCCATCATTTCTGTTCATGAAACAAAGAAAGGTCCGGAAAGCACTTGGCATAAACATATAGGCTTTCAAAACATTTTTTAAAAAAACAATTGAAACTGATTAAGAAGGGGATCAGGGATAAGGTTGGAAAAAGAAATACAGATAATGTAAAAATAAAGAATAAACTCAAGACTTTTACTTCAAAACCCACATTCTTCATCATGTGATATTCCCGAGGAATAATCTAAACAATCTAAAAGTGACATTTCTAGCTTATTTAAGTACAAGGTAACAGCCAACACTTTTACAGTGTTTATTATGGACACTTTACATATATCAGCCATTTGATCATTGTAACAACCCTTTAAAGCAGGCACTATTATTGTCTCCATTTTGAGAGAGAAAAGGTGGCTCAAAAAAATGAAACAACTTTTTCTAGCAAAGCCAAGAGCTGAAGCCAGGCAGTCTGGTCCCTGGGTCTGTGCTCTTAAACACTCCACCATTTTTATGGCAATTTCTCAGTAGAACTCTACAGGCTGAAAGCATTAGTTCCTCACAGTGGGTAACGCAAGGATGCAGGCTCCTTATGTTCTTATTAGAAATGTCCAGATCAAAATATCCTGCTTTGTTTTATATTTTGAATGAAGGGTTATTACCCCTACTTCCAGTTCACATAATATCCTTTCTTCAATCCCTTTCAATGACTGTCTTAATTGACATAAGTCTGTTGTTGATAAAGAACCAGTATATCATTCTGTTGAAGGCCTTATTTGCACATCAATTCAACTTACTTTTGTCCAAAAACAAGGCCATCTGCTTCTCTAGCCCCTCGGGACCCCCCCTTGTGGATTCGTCTTCATATTTTAATGGGATTGGAGTGCTGGGGTCAGCTGCCGGAAGGTCACTTTCTTTTTTGATGCTGCTATCTACAGATTTTAAACCCTTTAAAAAAAGGAAAAACATTTACTATATACTTAACTGAAAACTAAATATAAGGCAGTATCTGGACAACTGAATACTTTTAGGAGAATTTCTACTTCAGAAACAGATTTAAAAACTCCATTTGATCTGAAAGATTTAGAAAAATTGATTTGGTTTCCACTTATGCTTAAAGAAAAAAAATCACAGCAGAACACCATTCAGAATAACATTTAGACACCAATGAACAAATGGTATTTGCATATTAAGTACAAACTTTACTGAAAAAGTGAAGACTAAACTTAAACTTACCTCCAGAACATAGCTAAGTACAAGTCTACAGCGCTCTTCTGTGTCATGGCAAACTGGAAATGCACAACTGGGCTTCAGAAATAAACATTTAAAATTATTAATATGCTGCCAATATAACAAATTCTATGGTTCTCATCTCCTAGGATGAGAAACTCTAAAACTCTACAAACCAAGAATTTAGAAATGTGTTTATGTATTCAGCTTAGTGAGGTATCTGATATTTAAGGTTATTACAATGTTTTTGCTGCAGATTAAATTGTTGTAAGCAGCAACAAAAATCTTGCTTAAAAAGATCTTCCAGCATATATGTTGCTTTAAGTACTTAAAATTTTAAACATAATTCCATTACAACAAAAAAGTGAGAACTAGAGTAGTAATGTTTTAGATAAATGTATAACTAATCTAATAGGTCAGCTCAGCTCCTAATTAGCACTGATACTTGGTAACACACAATTAACAATACCATCAATTTAGCAATAGGTTAACAGGTATTACCAATAGTCTCATTATATAATTTATTTGCTTAACGAAGGAACAATACCAGTTAGCAACCTCCATCTACTAAGTGATATTATGAGTAAGGGCTTCTGTGAAGCATTTCATTTTGCTAAATCCTATGAGGCTAGAATTACTTTCTCATTTTACAGAAGAGAAACAAACACAGATGGTTAAATACTTTGTCCGAGAATGCAATGAATGGGAAGCTGGGACCTAGAGTCCAGGCTGACTGCCCATTCTTCAAAAAGTCATCAAACATGGATAAGGCACAGCTAACTAAAGACATATTTATATGAATATTAAGACTGCATTCAGATACTAAAAAAGAGTGCCATCTCTGTAAAAAAGTGATGCTAACCCACTACATCTTTAATTATTATCCAACTGCCCCGTAAATCCAGGGCCTTGTATATGCAGTTTCCCATATACATGTAACTTTTGCAATCAATATTTATAACCAGAAGAACACATTTTTATTCCACTGTTGGGGTTCAAGCTGAAAGTGAACTAAAATTTAGATGGACAGTTAATGACTTTTCCCAGTAGTGACTTAGATAAATATTTTTTAATTTTTTAAAATTTATTATTATCATTTCTTTTCTTTTTTTTCTTTATATTTTCCCACTGAAGAATTGTCTATAGACAAATATTTTACTGAGCACCCACTGTATGTTCTAGACATGGGATAAAAAGGAGTGTTTGTACAGGCCGGGACCTTACATTCTAGTGAAGGGAGACAGACAAACACAAAAAATAAGACAGGCTCCATAAAGGAGATAAAAACAGAGCATGCCAGAGTGGTTAGGAAAGGTCTTCTCCAAGAGGTAACATTTTAGTCAAGACTTAAGGCTTAAAAAAGGTAGCCCTGACGAGATCTGGAAAAAGCAATGTTCCAAGCAGAAGCACCAGCAAATGCAAGGCCCTCAGATGAGCATGATCTTGATGCATCTGAGAGTCAGAAAAAAAGCCAGTGTGGCTAAGGTACCCCAACGGGGAAAGTGAAGGTCACAAAGATAGATGATATTTTAGGGTGACAGAGATGTCCCTTCAAAAACTTAACTTGGATATAAAGTTTCCATCTGAAAGTTAAAACTCTAAGCTTAAATTAAAAGATTATCTGTAAACATTATTTCAGTTCAGAGAATAGCCAGAACTCTTAAGGCTGCCCTGGACCTAATCACAGGGAGACAATATATTGGAAGGGATGGTGTCTGGAGACACACTGATGGTAGACAGTCAATGTGACCCATGCCAACAGAAACCTAAAGGGTGGGAAGTTGTTAGACATGTCCAACCTGGCAGACATGACCACATTCACGGAAAAAAGTACTACCCTATACAGCACATGTATAATGACCTCTTATGAAAAGCCAACTGTATACAATAAACCATTTTTTGTTTTTCCAATGATAAAACTTTAATGCAAATTCTAACATGCTTACTCTGATTTGATGAATAGATTTGTATTTTTCTGGTACTGACAATTCTCCAACAGACTTAATTATAGCCACTGCTTTGTTATCATCTGACGGATCAGAACTGGTGCCATAGGATCCATTTTCGTCACTGTCTGGCATCTCTTCCTCCTCTTCACTATAACTTTCATCAGAATTCTCATTTAAAGGAGATTCTGAACTTTCTTCCTTTTTAGGTTCATCCAATTGAAAAAGTTCAGAAAGCATGTAATTGGCTGAAGCAATAATCTTATATATAAAAAAAGAAATTTCTGTAAGTGACGATCATCAAAATTGTATCCTCTAAAGAGGAATGAATTTTACTATCATACTAACATATTCTAGTAGGAAGTCTGCAAATAGGCTATTTCCACCATACCCGTAATAGACACAGAAATGTTCCCAATTCATAGTTACAAATACCCTGGGTATGCTCTATAAAATTCTTACGGGTTGGTATGCTTATTTCCTGAAATTATTCCATCCTGAGCCCTTTCCTTAAAAAAAGGTGGCTTACTGTATTTCACTGAAGAAAAGCAAAAGCTTTTAAGTGTAGAGTTTCATAACTAAAATATTAACAAATATTAACCCATATGAACTGAGAAACCAGAATTTCTCTTTCTAAACTATGAATATAAGTTTATCTTTAATAGGCAACTAATATATATTATACCATCTATGGTTGTAGGAGGAAAAAACCCACTACATTAAAGAGGGAAAAGTCCATCCTGATCTCTTAAAATTAGTATTTATATGTTACCATTTGTGCCATTCTATCATTTATTAATCCTTAATCACACTCAATAGTCTTAACATCATTTTTTAACTTTCACATAAACCATTAAGTTCTGCTAAACACCATTTCAATCAGCAATGAGATATTTAAGCCAGAATTTGTTCTGCCAATTTTTCTTAAAAAAAAATTCTCTGAGTTTGGTCTCTAGGATAATCTTTACCTCCAAATTGGATGTAGCTACAATTAAAATTAATTTGGATCTTTAAAATCCTCCAGACCTTCTCTGATTTAAATAGAATACAACAATTAACCTTATGCCAAAAAATACAGTTGTCAATCAAAAAAACTGAGGGTGAGGCAGATTTAAGATAGTGGAAAGGATGACTGAGAGAAAATTTCAAAAGATGCCGCATACGAAATTTTAAATTTCCTAGTAGCTACATTAAAAAGGTAAAATCTGTGCCATATAGATTTTAATATATTTAATATAATATTAAATTTTAATTAATTTAAATTAATTTTAATGGATTTTAATATTCATTAAAATTTTTTGAAATTTTAATGAAATTTTAATATTATATTTAATCCAATATACATAAAATAGATTTCAACATGTAATGTGTATACACATATACCCATACACAATCTTCAGTGTGTACTATATACTTATAGCATACCTCAACTGAGATTAAGTATATTTTTAGGGGCTTAATAGCCACATGTGGTTAGTAGCTAACACACTGGATAAGGGCAGTTAGAGAATATGAACTAGGAGGCTTTACTGTCTAGGAAACAATTCTCTATCAAAATGGGAGAGGTTTTTTTTTGGAGAATGTATAACTGTTAACACCTTACTTGAGGATGCCTGCTTTTGTCCAACAACTTGACACAATTAAGAAGCAATGTCCTAATCGTCCCATAGTGTTTCTTATTTTGATTTTTCTTCATCATCATGTTGCAAGCAACCCTAAAAGAAAGGTTTACATCAACTTTATTTCCCATTCATCATTCCGGGCAAGACTAAAGTCTAGGCATGCTCTTATTTGTTTCTAACAGAATAAGGGTTATAAGCAGCAACTAAATATTGAATTATACCCACTCATCCCCCAAAAGTTTATATTATGCTTGCATAAGGAAGTTGAGTAATATTTGGTACAGTGTGTATATGTGTATATATTTTTATTCCACTATGAAAACCTAACAAGTATTTAAAAAACCTTGCCTTTGACAGTGTGACTGTACAGATTAAAATTTTACATAAGCCCACTTCTACATCTTAAATTCATGAAGCACTCACTTATATAAAAGAATGGCCACTGGCATTGTGAATGGATTTTGGTATTTGTCTTCAGTTTCTTCACAAAGAGTAGTGAGATCATAGAGTTTCACTATATCACTGCCACTTGCTGGAAAGAAAAATAAATAAGTCTCATTTTACAGTAATCACCCAAATCAATTATTGTTCATTCATGAATTAGCTTACCTTTAAAGAGCCAATAGGTATGTCCTTCTTTGGTACAATTTGATTTCAGAAATGATAAAATATTCTGTGCAATGTCTTTTATGACTTTAGTAGAAAAATTAGAATTTTCCAAATTGGGAATCTCTTCTGTCTTTATCATTTCATATTTCTGTAAAACACAGATGGAAGGCAGTTTAAGAGAAAACCCGAGGCAGCGACACCTTTCTTATAAAAAAGCAACCAAGTCTGTAAGTTCTGCAAATAGAGACCTAAGCAGCATGCAAACGTTTAAGCCAGTGGTTTTCAACCTTTCTTCTGCTCCAACATTCCAAAAGATTTTGATATGCCCCCATTAGCAATGGTGGTTTACTACCAGATTAATTCTCAATAGAGAATCTCTACCAGATTTAGAACCTCAGATTTACACGTGATCTTATTTCTATTCTAACATGGAACAAATAGTACTAAATACGTTCTTCTATTCCACCCTAATTTTTTGTTTGTCTGTTTGTTTGTTTTTGAGAAAGTATCACTCTGTTGCCTGGGTAGAGTGCCATGGTGTCAGCCTAGCTGACAGCAACCTCGAACTCCTGTGTTCAAGCGATCCTTCTTTCTCAGCCTCCAAAGTAGCTGGGACTACAGGCATGTGTCACCATACCCAGCTAATTTTTTCTATTTTTGGTAGAGATGGGGTCTTGCTCTTGCTCAGGCTGGTCTCGAACTCCTGAGCGCAAATGATCCACTCGCCTCAGCCTGCCACAGTGCTAGGATTACAGGCGTGAGCCACCACGCCCGGCCCACCCTAATGGTTTAAATTGAGAAGATGGTAAATGTTGGTAGATTTTACTCAGCAAGCTTTATAAAACTATTTCTGGTCTTTTCTTTCCCTAGAGCTTTGGACTCTGTTCCTTTACAGGGATGGAGGACAAGGGTGTTGAGGTGACAGTAAGATTAAAGGCTGCATGGACATTACTATCACTATTTTAAAAGTGCCTCCATATTTTTCTCTAGTTTGTCTTTTGTGCAAACTTCCCAAAACACCTCTTACCACATTTTCTTAAGTACTCTAAGACTAAAAACTCCAAATCAGTTGGAAGGAACATAAGATGAAACACAAATGCCTAAGGCTAGTTTCAACCTTCTCAGTTCATCTCAAGTCCCCAGTGTTGACTATTTCATTCCTCAAAACACTGCTTTCCTGTATTTCACACTGCACTCTTCTGGTTCTCCTTCTTGCTCCCTTTGAATGGCCCTCTTGTGGCCCTCCAGGTCTCCAAGTGCAACCCCTCAACTGAATCCAAACTTTGGATTCAGTCAAAAGGCCACACACTTAAAGATCCAGAAGGCCACATGTGGCCCCAAGGCCCAGGTTCCTCACCCCTATGAGCTTTCCTCAAACTGAACATATGACAAAAACATTACCTTCCTGTCTAAACTAATTCACTGTTCCTATCTCAGCAAATGATACCATCGCTATTCTAGTCCCTGAATCCTGAATTCCCTTCAACTCTTCCTCCCTCCTTACTAATGCTTTACCTGCCTCTCCCTGTTCTCTCCTGCCCCTCCCTATTCTCTCCAGCCCCTACCCCAGCCTCTCACTAAATGTTCCCATTTTTAGGGTGATGGTTTAACAGTGGTTCTCAATCAAGGCTGGAAATGAGAACCATGTACAAGGCTTTCTGAAAAAACAGATGCACAGATATCTACCAATCCTGGAACACTGGGGGCCTAAGCAAGTGCATTTTTAAATAGGCCACAAGTGACTTTGATGCATACCCCAGGTTAATAATCACTGGGTTGGAGTACAATGGTTAAAAGCATGGCCTCAACCAGACAGAGGCTCAAACACTGGCACTTACTATCAATGCGGCCCTGGGCAACTCACTTTACCCCCCTGATCCTCAGTTTCCCTCTCCATTATATGGGAGTAACCCCATATGAAGTAGCGAGAAGATTAAAAAAGGTAATGCATGTAAAGCACTTAGCAAAGTGTCTGGAACAAAATAAGCACTTAATAAATGCTAGTTGTAACAACTGTTGATTCTTAATATTTCCTCTGTAGAATAAGCACATAATACTATTTGTAATAGTGGTACAATGCCTGATCAGTCTTGTCTCCAGGTCCTCCTTGTCTGTCCTATATGCTATCTCCAAATTAATATTCCAATGCAACAAATTTCATTTCACCTCCCAGATGTGAAGCCTTCAATGGTTCCAGATTACCAACTGAAGCAAGTCCAAGTCCCACAACTCGGCATTCAAGACTTCCTATTACTTGGCCATGACTTTCCAACCTTATTTCCAACCATTCTGCTACATAAAATCATGTGCTCCCTAGCTGGATTTATTCTCAATCCCTTTGTTTACTTATCCTAATCTTTTAAAATCCAACTCTTATATTTTGAGATGCTAACTATCATTTAAGACCCACTTAAAATGCCACTTCTTCCATGAAGTCTTTCTTCTAGACCAAAAAGAAGTGACCTCCCCTTCTGATGATCCAAACTTCTGCATGTGTCCTGCACTTCTAATACTTATCTACTGTTTCCTCCTGTTCCCTCTGCATGTTGCCATTTCCCATTAGATTACATCTTTCTGAGTAGTGACCAAACTTATTGTTTTCCCCCAACATTTACAGTGGGGACAAAGTACCTCCTACACAGAATATGCTCAGTAAGAATTTTCTAAATGAGCTGTCTACTTTATGCAATTTTCATGGTGGCCTTTCCTTAAAACTTTGCATATACTGAGGAGATATTTGTATAATGAACAAACACCTCCACTATATAGACCAGGCGTCCTCAAACTATGGCCCACAGGCCACATGCGGGGGTGTTTTTGCCCACTTGTTTTTTTACTTCAAGATATGTGCAGTGTGCATAGGAATTTGTTCATAGTATTTTTGAACTATAGTCTGGCTCTCCAACAGTCTGAGGGACAGGGAACTGGCCCCCCTGTTTAAAAAGTTGGAGGACCCCTGATATAGATACTTTCAGTTAATTACTATGGGTGTTTAGCATTATAATTAGAGTTCTATGGCTACAAATCTAGGTTTCAGTATGACCTTCCCATAAATTACCTATAAAATTATACTCCTGTAATATCTAGAATTCTGATAAATGTGAAACACTCAAAATTCAGTTTATTCACAGCTATTCCCCCTGCCAAAAATACATATTAGTATTTAAGGGCCTTAAAACTTTGGTGAGGTACTCCCTGTATCATTTTGCATTTGAGAGATTAGAAAAGTCACACTGTATCTTACCTGTACAATTCCGTTTACATGAAAACACATCACAAGCTCTGGTACATTGCATATCAAGTTATCCAACCAATAGTCAATTCCAGTTAGCACATTAATTGGTTTGTTGTTGTCCCTAAAAATATACATTTCTAGTGTTATTTGGTTTAATTAAGATGTTCCATAATGAATCATCTAAGATTTCCCCATTTAAATATTTTAAGCTATTCTCCTAGATAAAAAATGCCATATATGCTTTCTTTTCTGATGAGATATGTACATATAGCTCAGTGGTTGTGTTATATTTAATATCTTTCCAAAAGCTCTGTATTTCTAATTGGTGTCAGTAAGTTTTCAGTAAGAATAGAAGAAAATGTGAAAGGAGATGACCATAAGCCCACTGCGTGCTCCTCATATGACCCAAAGAAAGAGTGACCATGATAATGCTTAAGTAAGAATAATGTGAACAAATACATGCGTGGCATTAAGAAAAACACTCACAATTAGTTAATAGAAAGCTGGCAAACCACCTTCTTAACTAATTAAATGAACTACAAATTGTAGATTCAGACATAAGACTAAGCCAGTGCAACAGACCTCTGGCTCCATTCAATCGGCCTATAATGAAGACTTAGCTACAGGACTTTCAGCATTTGCTGAAATGGTCACAGTAAGGAAGGAGCTACTTTCAGCATTAGCTCCTTCCTTACTGTGACCATTTCAATCGGCAGGGGAAGGGAGGTAGGTGAAAAAACCCAAAGAAAGAGGAGGATGCCCAAATAGACAAGGGAAAGCAGATGGAAAACTGATTCTAAAGGAAGAATTTAAATACCATAGCTTAAGGAGGGGTAAAATGTTGGTTTACCTGAGACGTAAGCTGACTGCTGGATATCTGCCTCCTCCAAATATAGGCATGTTGGAACCAACCAGCATATGGATATCTTCAAACGTCCATAGAATGTTCCGAACAAAATCATTTTTTAGACCCTTTGATTTAAAATAGGGAGATTATAATAAACAGGAGATCTATAATATCCTCCCCCCTTACAATCCACAGAAAGACTAGAAAAAGGAAAAGACAAAGGAGACAAAGTCAAGTCCCAGAGCTGTAAGATCACAGAGATGTTTAGAAAGCAATTTTAGGATCAAGTGGATTTTTTTACCTATCAATTCCAACTAGACTAATTTTTAAATGATGAAGCAGACTGGGGATTAAGTGTCTCAACTGGGACACCATGGAAAGCATACCTGACTGTTCTCCCCGTCATTGAATAAAGTAGTCAGGTTTTGTTCTTTGGGTGCTGAGGCCACATGCCCCACTATGTATGAGGGTTCAAGAGGCTCACTTCCCTGTGAAAAGTGCAAGGATAAGGAATGATTCTGCTGCCAACATTACTTAAAACTGACCTACTTTTAAAGAGTATCACTCAAATGTTCAAAGCACACCTTGAATCTACCTTTGTGAATTAAGCTAATGCAAATCACTATACTGGGTGGCTTGCTTCAGCTCTTAATTATCACAGCTACTAACAAGCTAATCACACTTAGATCTTACTCAAATGAGATAAAGATTAATATAAGTTTTCCAAGCTTTTCATTTTGCTTTCTTTCTTTTTTTTGGTAAATGTGATTATCATTGCTTTCAGTCTACCCCATCTCTAACCAAATTTAAAAATTCCTAAGAAACCTCAGCCATAGTTTGAGATGCTCATCATCTTAACAGTCTTCGGCTTAGTATTTCCTAATGAGTGTTTCATAAAACACTAGGATACTCAGCGAAAACTTTCCAAAGTCAGGTTTGAAAAATGCTGCTTGCCAACTTGCTTTTAAAGAGTAATAATGTTTATTGCCATTAAAGACAAAACCTTCTAAGTGGTCCTGCAGTGGAAAAATCTACTTCACATCTGTATAATCCAATATTTCCCGAATTTATTTAATCTCAGAACACTTTCTGTTCTGAAGATATTCGGTGGAATACATTTTGGAAAACACTTAGGAAGCAGGCCCTTTGCATCGGACAAACTCAGTCTACCACTCAATTTCCCAACCCTTAGGACAGTAGTGCTGCCACTAAGACTACTTGAAACTTTTAATGTCAATGCCCCAACAGACCCCATGATGGACATGTGTACGTGTTGCTTACTCCATGAAATTCTGTCTAACTTCTCACCTATGTGTATGCCGACAGGCTCAGCATCTGCCTGGGAAGCGTGCATGACTGCAAGCACGTGGGAGAATGCCAGCACTTATACTGTTTGTCTTCTACCAGAGTCCTAAGAGAACTTTAAACTCTACTTTATTTTATTATTTGTTTATGCAGACAAGTTATCAACATATGAATAATTCCCAAAATATAATTTGCCAGGTAGTTGCTTTAATAGGAGTCTGGGCTCTAGGTTACAATGTTCTCAATAAAAGTTTGGCACCAAGGCCATACCACAGACACCTATTTAACCTCTAGTATGCTTAATAAAGGCTTCAAAACAGCAGTTTTAGTTTGGGGGACAAGAATTCATGAGGTGATAGCTTGCAAACATAAACAAATCTCTAAACATTAAAATGTAGGCAATATAATATGTTGTAAGAAAAATACTCTGTACAAGACTTTTATGGCAGGCTAGCCTGCTTAGGAGTGTGCCATTGCTAAGATAATCTGATTGCTTACAGAGCCCTCCTAACTATGTGTGGAGTACATGGACACAGTAGAGTATGGCTGTAAGAACATGTCTCTGAAGACAGAAAGATCTGGGTTTAAATCCCAGCTTGCATTTTACCAGCTGTTTGACTATGGCTAAACATTTGTTTTTATGAGCTTTAGTTTACTGACTTGTAAAATGACACCATCAACACTTACTACATATGCAGTTCCAAGGATAAAACAAAATTTATAAACACACACATAACAAAGTAAAGGGCTTAAAAGGCATTAAATAAATGCCAGTTTGCTTCCTCCACATGTAAGCCTACAGATTCTCAAAAAGTCTCCAAGATTTTTCAAAGTAACTCCTAAACAAGGTGAGGACAAGATGATAATGCTGGGAGAAGGGTGAGTTGGGTAGTAAGAGGGCAGTAAATCTACTATGTGGTCTTTTTATAAGGTGTAGGTTTTGAAAACAGGGAATACTAAATGAATTTTTAAAAATCCTTTAGTGAAATATAATCACAGACAGAAGTGTACAAAACAAATAATATAGTAAAATGACTAATTATAAAGCCAATTACCCATAACCATTACTCAAGTCACAACATGGGTTGTGGCTAGCACCCAGGACCCACCATGCCCTTTCTCAATCTCAGAGCATCCCCATCTTCTTGGTGGTTACCACGATGTGATTTGCATGTTAATTAACTCCTTCCTTTTCCTTATTGTTTTCTCACTTTTGGAAAAAATTTAAATTCATTATGTAGTTTTATGGGAAGGTTTCTCTATTTTAAAACCCACTAAAAAAAATCAAGTGAAATGTATTTATTTCCTGTACCCCTATAATTCGTGAAGATTGAAACAATCTGGCAGAACAGTGTTCAATATGTAGAAACACATAGTAAGAGGAAAGAATAATTTATCAAGTTACAGATCTTATTTTTATCTTTTTCAGGTTTATCAATATATTTTCCTGAAAATAGAGATGCCACAATTTACATGACTTTATTTTATTCATTGACAGACACAATAAGGACACAAATAAAGAAATAATCAATAAGAGAAAATGTAAGAGACAGACAACACAGTTTACTCTCTTTTCCTTTCTAAAAGTTTTATAACATGAATGTGGACTAAGTCTCAGGAACTTCATCTTAAGGGATATTTTAGGCCTAATAATCGGACTAAAAGTTAATATAAAAAGGTCAGTACTTAAATTATGAACAGGCCTATGGGTCTCAATATTTGATAGGTACTTATTACACATCTAAAGTTAAAAATAAATACTATATCACTATATTATACAGTATTCTTATAACTTTAAAGAGACAGTATTGATAAACATATTCCAAGCTATTCCAAAATATTTTGAATTATTTAATAAAAAAATCGGACCTAGCCATTCATAATAGCTCTTGTAAATTCTACTGTAAAAACTAAAAAGTTTTTTTTTCCAATTGTGAGACCTAAACTGATAGTGTATTTCTTATTCCTGTTTATCTATTTTTTAAACAAGATAATTGGTTTTGTCTTTCTAAATGAGTTTACCAAACCAGCATTTAAAGACTGACTAACCTGACTAGAAGCACTGGGATCTTCAGACACCGAAGAAGGCATTTCAAAGGGGGCAGGCCACGAAGCCCCTTCCGAACCACTTGTCTGATGTGAACTGGATGGTTCCTGCTGTTCCGCAGCAGATGGGACAGGCTGGGCGGCTCCATCACCATTGATACTGGCCAAATGGGGGTGGGTGGTGGAAATTACATTATTGTTAAAGTCAAACTTCAGGTAATTGTGTACCTATTTATAAAAACTAGATCTGTAACCAATCTTACATCTTGTGAAAAAGGAACATAAGAAAATGTTACCAATAGGAGGAATGAATAAATGTTAACAGTACCACAGTAGCAAAACTTAAATTACTACTTTTACTAGCTTCAAATTAAATCTTAGATTAGAATTTCATTTGTCCTAAGATAAAAATAAATAAGTAGCCAAGTACCTGTAATATAAAAACTTGGAAAGAATAGCCTTCTGATACCAGTGCTCTTTGCTCTTTTTCTTCCTCTGCCACTTCTGATCAATTAGTCTTTGATAAAACTCTTTTAACCATGTCCAATCACCAGTCTGAATAACATAAGAAATTATTAAATAAATAGAACACACATATAGTTAAAACAATGGTAACTGTTAACTCTTTTACAGAAAATACTCTGTTTTTTGCATGCTGTTTCATAAAAACATACTCATAAAACATTTATCTTCCTGGACTCAATTCACACCACCTCTTTTAGGAAATCCCAGTTTTCTTCCTCTCCCTAACTCACGCCAGGAGAGATGAACCTTCTCTGTAATATTTTTAGTGCCTGGAGGAAGCCCCATTTTGCATACTGCATTGAAATTATTTTTGTATGCATTTATAACCCCAAAACTGCGTACTGCTAAGGAGCAAGGCCTGTGATTTACTCACTGTCATATCCCAAGACCTTGGCCAGTACATACATATACACTGAACTGAACTATGGTCATTATTTTACACTTGATCTTAGCCAAAAGCCTGAGAAGCAATGGTCTTTATTTTAAACATCAATTTAAATCACTGTAACTTAATTTTCTTTATCAAAGTACTGTAGGAATATTCTTTAAACTAAGGACTAGCAAGCCCATGAACTATTTATTACTAGTCCACAAAAAGGTAAGTAAAGAAATGGAGAGGGAGCTTGAGAAACCACAACATTGTTACTCTATTTTACAAAAGTATACATCCTCAACATGGGAAAAAAAGTCACATACCAACATACAGTTTGAGAAGCTTGGCTTTAGGGGAATCAATTAATTCTAATAACTACAGTCATGCATTGCTTAATAACAGGGGTATGTTCTGAGAAATGCATCATTAGGTGATTTGGTCATTCTATGAACATCATAAAGTGTACTTACGCAAACCTAGATGGTATATAGTCTGCTACTATTGCGGTGCTCAACCCTGAGCCGGGGCCCAGTACTGGTCCATGGCTTGTTAAAAATGGGCTGCACATCACCACCTGAGCTCCATCCCACCCCCAGTCTGTGGAAAAATTGCCTTCCATGAAAATAGTACCTAGTGCCAAAAAGGCCAGGTCTACTACACACCTAGCCTATATGGTACAGCCTATTGTTCCAAGGCTACGTATAGCATATCACTGTACTGAATACTGAACACACTTGTAACACAACAGTATTTGTGTATTTAAACATATCTAAACACAGAAAAGGTACCATATAAAGGAAAACAGTATTATAATCTTATGGGACCACTGTCATATATGTGGTCCATCGATCATGGTTATGTGGTGCATGACTGGATTCATTTATAGGACTAGCTTTTCATGTTTTTCATTTTTCCTGGTAGCTGTGTTTTATAAGAATCTGTTTAATAAAGACAAGGATTTTTCAAAAATTTAAACTAGTCTATTAAATTTCACAGATTTTTCACAAGTTTCTTTACTGGCTTCACCTTTTTCTTTGTAAGAAAGAATCCTGGCTGTTGGTGTCAATAAAATAATTTTCTTCCCCATTCTCCCTTCTATTTTTTCTTTAAAGCTTTTCTATCTTCAGTGAAACTTTTCACTTCTTGATTGTTGAAGTACTCAACTATATTTCCACTTTGGCCTTTCTCTGAAACAAAATCATATTTCTAATGCTCTTAAGTTGTTAGAATAATGCTTTTCTGGATGTTTTTCACAAAAAGTATTACCTGAGATGATCTCATAAAGAGTTCTTGAATATCCAGCTCGTCTAACAGGAGAGTCCTCCCTATGCGGTGCACTGCCATGCTCACGTGGGACTTGCTGTAGGGAATCTTCAGGAGCTTTTTTATGTTCTTAAAAAAATTAAGAGAAAAAATAGTTTAGAAAGACCTTTTTAGTATGATTTAGAACCTTTTAAATTTTAACTTTATTTGTAAAACTTATTTCCTTAAGTTTATACAAACGGTACTTTACATAAAAGGCCATATGCAAACATATGGAAGACAGAGCTTTAAAACCAGAATTACCTAGACTCTATGAGCCATACTATGTTAACGTAAATGACGGTCAAACATTTATATTTAGATGATAGAATTTCTTAAAGTTAAGTGTGTACAGGTCACACTGTTGCACTGACCTAGGCTTTTAGTATATCAGATAAAAACCACCAATTAAGGATCAACAGACTTTACTAGAAATATCATTAGTAATTCTCAACTGGTACCATATACACAATCCCATTATAATCAGTTTCAGTAACTATTATTAGAACACAACCATCAGTATTAATATTATTACCACTGCCAGTGTTTTGAGAGTTGTTCCTTCCTCTTGGAAGAAAGGAGATGTGGTAAAGAGTGATACTTTAATAAACAAAGAAGATATTCAATCATCTGATAGTTTTATCTTATTTCATTACTAATTTCTCAAGACTGCAAAACAGAAAATGATACAACATCTAGCACAAAACATTCTCAAAGTTACATTAAGCAGTAAGTAACACTTACTTCAGAGTCAGAAACAACATCCACATCATTTCCCACTGAATCAATAAAGTCATATGCCATGCCAAAGCTACCGAAGGAAAAAAAGGCCACAAGTTACAAGGTCATGCTAAGAATCATGCAAATAGAGGTTAACAACAGAATACTGTATTTCATCACTTCTAGGACATATTTTCCACATTTTAACATCTCTGAAATCAGGATGCATATCACCATTATAGTTGGCTAGTTTTCCCTATTAAGTGGAACATAAAATAATGGTATGTCTTAAAATCAATGGCATCTTAGAGTTGATAAACATAGTAATAATCTTTAGAAGAAATTAGTAGGAAACACTTAGAATAAAAACACTTACCAATTGTTTTTATTTTTGTAATCACAAAACCCAAAAAAATCTCCAAGAGAAAACCACTACAAGATTTTATCCTTTTTAGGTAGTGAAATAAGAAAAAGAGAAAGAGAAACATTTGCCAGGATTTTATTTTCTGGGATTGTATATATAATATATATTGATATATAATATTTCTCTTTTAAAAAAATAGATATAAAAAATATGCACCTGATACCAATTCTGCCACAAGGGAAAGGGAAAAAATAAAAGTTAATTGAGCATCCAACTCATGCTAGGTAGCTGATATCACCATTTTCCAGTTAGTAAGTAGCAGAGAGTCAGGATACTCACCTAACTTGCTAACTTGAAAGCATAATCTCATGATTTACCATGGACACTAGATAAGTTATTTAACCTTTCTCAGCTTTTCTCATGTGCAAAATAGTTAACAGGGCCTATCTCAAATGGTGGTTGTGAGAATTAAATGAGATAAACATATGAAATACTTAGCATAGTGCTTGTATACAATTATCATTTAAATCACCTCATAAAATTTAATTGTGTTGACATATCAGAATTTACTAAGCTATCATTCTAGAAAAAGATATTTGGGTTATTTCCCAACTTTCGCTAGTACAAATAATGCTATAAACATTTGCTAGTACAAATAATGCTATCAACATTTTGCAAACGTAACTTTTGCCTTCTGAGGCAGTAGGATAATTTTCAAACCACTAGCTCATAAGGTATTAATGTGTTTGTGCCTCTTGCTATAAGTTACATGGAAATATTTTAGGTTAAATCACTGAGAGAAAATAAAGAGAGACACACACATTAAATGGCATACAAGAATATGGATGTTAGTACGTTTTCCTCTATAACAGGAGTCTTCAAACTTTTTAAACAGGGAGCCAGTTCACTGTCCCTCAGACCATTGGAGAGTGTGCACTGTGGGCCCAGGACGAGTCGGCTGCTAAGCAGGACAGGCAGCCACAGCAAAAACACCTGGTAGGGCTGGGTGCAGTGGCTCATGCCTGTAATCCTAGCACTCTGGGAGGCCGAGGAGGGCAGATTGCTCCAGGTCAGGAGTTCGAAACCAGTGTGAGCAAGAGTGAGACCCCATCTCTACTATAAATAGAAAGAAATTAATTGGCCAACTAATATATATATATATATACACAAAAAAAATTAGCTGGGCATGGTGGTGCATGCCTGTAGTCCCAGCTACTTGTGAGGCTGAGGCAGAAGGATTGCTTGAGCCCAGGAGTTTGAGGTTGCTGTGAGCTAGGCTGCTGTGAGCCACGGCACTAGGTTGCTGTGAGCCACAGCACTCACTCTAGCCTGGGCAACAAAGCGAGACTCTGTCTCCAAAAAAACCCCCAAACACCTGGCAGGCCGGATAAATGTCCTAGGTGGGCGGCATGTGGCCCTCGGACCGTAATTTGAGGACACCTGCTCTAAAATCCCAGGCTACTCTCTCAACTTTAAATACTACCAGCAGAATTTCCAGTGTCAAAGTCAAGGGCGTAGGCCACACAACATGCTGGGTTTTTACTTTGGGCTTTTTCAGAACAGACAGTCCACCATCATTTAATGAAAACTTCCATAGGACAAATCAGGCAGTGTTAAGGGTTTTCCTCCTCATTTGTCACCCTGATTCTTTACAATCATGTATTCAAAAGGTATGCAAATTTGCTAAAATAAAATGGCTGATTTAACGTTAGCAGTTAAAGTCATCTTTGTTACTAACATGATGTAGACCTGAGAAAAGCAAATGCAATTGATACCTTCATATTGCAACATTATTATCATAGGAAAAAAGAACTTTCAAAGTGAAATGTGATCTTTTTTGAAAGAGAAAGCTCAGTAAGTTAATGTGTATTACCAATTATACTGAAAAGCAAGTATTAGGAGCTTTAAATCAGGATACAGGAGCAAGTAAAAATGCCACAATTAACAGTCACCTTGAAAATGGCTTGCTTTTCTTACTGTTGCCAAGAATGGTTGTTCCTGCTGGCCCTAATTTGGCACTCTCTCGTAACCAGTTGGCAGGTGGGAGTTTCAAGTCTGTCTTCTCTTCAAGGCGTGCAAATGCTGTTCGAGGAGGGGCAGAAGAGTATTTCACCACAGCTCGGCTCTTCACTTCATTGCCTCCGAGAAATAAAGCTGACCCCTAATTAATGTATTGAACGAAACATTAATGAACACTATTAGAATGAAGATCTCACCTTTACAAAAACCTAACAAGAACCCACCACACCAGGCTTCACAAGGAACATATGCTACATGTTAATAATAGCACTTAATAAATTCGAGCATAAATTGTCACATTTGCTTAGCTCTTTCTCACATAACTCCAAAGAAAAAAGATGAGTCAAGGAGCATGATGTCAAGGAGTCATTATCAGTTAGGAAACAAGCCAATCACTCTGCCTTTTAAATTTTATTCAATTTATATGAATAAAGTGAAGAAGCAGAAACCAAGGAGACTCAATAGTATCATGTTAACTACATATAAGATTTAATAAAACTTCTGTTCAATGCTTGAGTATTTTAATTTCAATAACATGCATCATTTACAAAGGAGCCTGGTAAGATATCTCGAACTTGTTTTCAAGCAAATGTTTAGTAATTTTCATCAGTTCATTACACAAATACTCTGAACCTATAACTTCATCGCAAGGCACCTGGGGGATTCCTCACAACCTGCACTTGCACATCCCCAAGGCAAATTCAGTGTCTGGGTTCAATATTCTAATCTCTCGCCAAGTCCCTTTTTGGCCTGGCAACACTTTGCACCTTTCAAGAATTAGTTCAGTCCCATTATCGGTGAGTACCTCTCTGGCACCCTCTCTCTTCCCTCCAGCTTTGCACGGCTGTGCCACATTCTGGAACCACATATTTACATGTACCCTTCTTGAGAGCAGAGCTCGTGTCTAACTCACCTGTCGGTTACCAGGACTGCTTTTGATACGAATGACTTACAAGTAAATACCTGAATACCTGGCGACAAGCACAAAGACTTCCACTCCCTGTTTTGGGGGTGTGAGGGAGGCGTGGAGAAGGCGCTAGAACCTGCCAGGAATCGTGACATTCCTCCTCAGCGGAAAGGGCCCGCAGCTCCCGGAGCCCTGCTAGGTCCCGCCCCGCGGAGGGCTCACCTGTGCAGAAGGTTCCTCGGACTCTCCCTGGGACAGGAGACTGAGCCCTCCCCGAGCAGCGGCCACGGCCGGCGGAGCCTCGGCTCCGGCCTCCTTGAGGTCCCCCATCACTTCGGTCCAGGGCAGCAGAGACGAAGCGGGACCGAAAGAGCCGCGACAGGAACCCAGGCCCAGCGGCGCGGCAGCACAGTCGAGCAAGCGCCAAACGCGCTCCGCAGACAGCACTTCCGGCCTCTGACAGGAAAAGGTTGCAGTGACGCGCGATTAAATCTCGCGAGCTTTGTCCCGGAGGCCCAGCCCCGCCTCCCGCTGCAGCGGGTGCCACCTCTGCGGCGGGGGGGGGCGGGAGCAGCAGTGCGCCTGCGTCTGTGAGGGTTTCTTCGGGAGACCACTTCTCGCGGTTTCTGAGTGCGAGGCTCCGCCCCCTGCACTCCGCTCGTCTTTGTTGGCAAACAGTTCTTGGGACTTGGGACTCGGGCTTGGGGCGGGGAGTCAAGGTGGGAGGGCGGGGAGGTGCTGCGGTCCCGCGAATTCCTGAGGTGCTGGCGCTCCTCCTTGCCTCCTGCAGCCTTCGCCGCCCCGCGGTTTTACAAACGGGCTCTCCGCGGCCCGAGGGGAAGGGCGTGCCCAGGCGAGGGGCCTCGCGGCTGGAGCCGGGGCCTCTGACTGGGCGTCCGCTCCCCGCTGCATCACAGTGCCTGCGCCCGGTCCTGGCGCGGGAGCGGCGGGGCTTCGCGGGAGCGGGCGCCGAGCTGCGCGGAGGAGGCCCCGCGTGTGGCCGCCGGACTCCGAGCGGGCAGCACCTGCCCGGGTGCTCCGGGCCCCTGCGGAGGGCCCGCTGTGTGCCGGCCCGGGGATCTGGCCCGCATTGCACGGGGTCCGGGGCTCTCCGACGTTAGGTAGCGTGCCCAGGAACCCCCGAGGGGCTTGTTACTTGCAGGTTCTGATTCTGCAGGTCTGGGATGGGCCTGGGCTCCGCGTGTCTCGCAAGCTCCAGGGAGGTGATGCCAGTGCTCTTGAGTAGCGAGGAGGTCGAGAAATGGGCAGGGCCGCTTTACGCCTTCGAAGGTCTAGCGGGGGTCCTCAAACGTTTTAAACAGGGGGCCAGTTCACTGTCCCTCAGACGGTTGGAGAATGTGCACTGTGGGCCCGGGACGAGTTGGCTGCTAAGCAGGACACGCAGCGGGGCAAAACGCCCTAGCGCCAGATGAACGTGTTAGCGGCCCGCCTGTGGCCCAAGGGCGCTAGTTTGAGGATGCCTGGTAGGCTCTCTTGCCTTCAGACTCTGCGCCCGGTGTGGTATCAAACAGTTAAACGCAAGCCACATCCCTCATAAAATATATTTTTTGTATGGTAGAAGTTTTTGTTTTGCGGTAAGATAATGAAAGTTTTTTAAAAAATTAGTTTTGCCTTTGCAGTGTGTTGGCTATCTCACTTTGTAATACACATCTGGCTCAGAAAACTCACCACTGTGCCCATATTCAGGAATGCTGCGGTTATGAGCAAGCTCAATTTACAAATTGTTTTCCAATTTAACAACACATTTTTACGAATTAAATTTAGCATTGAATTTAATATAGTATATTTTGTAGACATTTACTAAAACAAGTATTGATTTTTTTATCACTTTTGTATTCTACAATCAGTAATTCTTTTTTTGTTTTCTCAAGTTTTGCGTTGTAATAGTAAAAAGTTGAACACAAATGTATCTAACATTAGGATGGTTAAGTCTCTTTTTGGTACATAATAAAGAAACCCTGTACAACCGTTAACCTTGTTTTTCATGACTATTCAAGAACATTTAAATCATACATCATATATTGTTAAATGATAAATTTTTAAAAAGCCAATGTGCAATATCCTAATTTTATTTATTTATTAAGACATAATAATAAATAAATAAATTTATTTATTTTGAGTCTAACTTTGTTGCCCAGGCTAGAGTGAGTGCGTGGTGTCAGCCTAGCTCACAGCAACCTCAATCTCTTGGGCTCAAGCGATCCTACTGCCTCAGCCTCCCAAATAGCTGGGACTAAAGGCATGCACCACATGCCGGCTAATTTTTGTGTATATATATATGCATATATATGTTAGTTGGCCAATTAATTTCTTTCTATAGTAGAGACGGGGGTCTCGCTCTTGCTCAGGCTGGTTTCGAACTCCTGACCTGGAGTGATCTGCCTGCCTCGGCCTCCCAGAGTGCTAGGATTACAGCCATGAGCCACTGCCCCGGCACAATATCCTGATTTTAAAAATGTGTGTATTTCTTTCTCTATGTCCACAAAAACAGTTCTCTGAGAGGTAAGATGGAGTGATTTAAAATTTATTACTTAAACTTTTCTTTATTTTCCTATTTTTTTCTTTCGGATTGCCTATTATTTTATAATAAAATAATTTTTTACTAAGCTTTTATACATCTATAATTTAGCTTCTGATAATCTTTACATTCTGTTGTTTTATTGTATCAATCTATCTTTGTAAGAAGGGATTTCATAAGGTAGCAGTTATTCTTTTCTCAAGACTCAAATATTTTGTATGCCTCTTGATAGAGGTAAGTGGTTGGTCCCTGTTGATGATGCTGAGTGGGAAAATGTGCGGAAACAGCCTGTAAAAAGGCAGAGAAGAATGAAACAGAACCAGGAACTTAGCAAAGAAAAAGAGAGGTCAGCAGCTGACAGAGGATCATGGAGCTAAGGATGTCATGGGGGGGGGGACGCTGGGGACTACTTGGGGGATGCTTGAGTAGGAGCTGGGTAGCAGCCACACACAGGGCCAGCCCTAGAGTGCTGTAATTGAGTTTGTGAAGGAGGGTGATCTCTGAATGCTGGAGAAACTGGGCACATCTGGATTTCATAAAGTTTATATATTCCTCTAGCTCTAAGGGCTTATTAATTTTTTCTTTTTCCCTATTCGAACATTTTTACATGCTGTGGGTTTTTTGTTTAAGTTATAATAGTATTGTTTCTAATGTAATTGAAATATATTATGGGAAAACACGGACCATTACTTCCAGAATTTAAAATTTTAAGACATATTTATGTTCATTTTTATATTGTACTGTGTCTGCCTGTCCCCTCCATCTCCGTCCCTACCCTGCAGCCCCTGCTCAGGATGTACTCTGTCCTGCATGGCCTGCTCTGCCCTGTCAGTACAGTTATCCCGGTTCTGGTAACTAGTCAGTGCTCTAACACGTTTACCTGCCTGCCCAGTGCCTGATGCTCTGGCTACAAGAAATGTTTGTTGAATGAATGGATGAGCAACATGGTGCTTGTTGCCTAGCCCCACATCTGCTGGTGCTTTTCTTTTGCCTGGAATACCTTCTCTTCCACACCTGGTTTATTCCCACCCACCCCTTGAGATTCATCTCTATTAAGTCCCTCCTGACACCTCTCCACTCCTTTCCGCCAGGATCCCTTTCTTTTTTCCCATCCTTGTATGACGTTGTCCTGCACTTGTCACATTATAGAAAGACTGCCTGTTTGTCTCTGCCTCCCTCACCGACTATGAGCTCCTCAAAGGGTAGCGGCTGTCTGATCACCAGCACCAGGCACAGCACCAGCCGAAAGAACTGGTTTAGCCCTTAGGCAACGGAAGGAACATGACTGGGGCTGACAGGCTTTTAAAATGCTCATCAAAATGTTTGAGACATAAAAACAATGTTGGCTCCAAACTACTTTTTAATCTGCAGAATCAAAGCTAACAATGTTTAATGAAGTAGCTCCAAAAGATCGCAGTGTCAATGTCATTAATTATTAAAGTTACTATTGACATGCAGTTTGTTCCATTCTAAAACAATTTGTAGATCAGACTTACTCAGTTTGCAAAAATCCTCCCAGCATGCATGATGATTTCAGAGAAATCCCAGGCATTCACAAATGTAGTTATTTGTCGTGTGCAGAATTTTCCAAAGCAAAGCTAGAAATCCTTTCAAAGATGTTTACAGTAAGACAATTATATTTAAGGCAGATGTGGTTGGGGGTGCTGCCAAGGATGCTCACAGTTCCTGTCCAGCCTGGTGGGTAGAGGACGCCAACCCCTAAAACTTCTAAACTCAGGGACTGAAGAGCAGGACATGTGTTCTTCAGTTTGCCATGGGCCCCTCCATGACCTAGTGTTTTACCCCTAACCAGCCTCATTCATTTTGAATGATTTTGAAAGATTTTGCATTTCTGACTCCTGATCCTGGACTCTTGGAGCTGAAAGAGAGATTGTAGATTATCTGAGCCAATCCCTTCCCTATGCAGTCCAGAAAGGGGAATAGTCCAACAAGTCCAATGGACTTGTTGAAAATCATACAAAGCTAGTTAGTAGCAAAGCCAGAACTAGTACCCAGGTTTCCTACTCAGTTAGCCTTCTAAAAAGTCAAATTGCAGACATAAGCCAGTGGAGGTTTAATTTGTTTTATCATCACCTGAGGAACTTCTTAAGAGAGCACATCCTCCAGCCACCTCCAGATTCTAAGTCAGTGTCTCTGGGGTTGTGCTGAGGAATCTACATTTTTCATGAGATTGCTAGTTTCTCATGATCTTGGCCTATAGACCACACATTAGAACAGTGGTCTCCAAAGACAATCCCCTGGGTGCAGGAAGACCATAATTTTTTTTTTTTAACTTGCAAAGTAAGGGCAAAATAAGGTTTTACTAATACTTAATCTGCAGATTGACACAGGTGCCCTTCCTTGGGCCATGGTCAGCTGGTCAAGTATGAGTGGGCTATGCAGACAAAACAAAAGATCCCCAAGTGTCAGTGGCTTACAACTCGGGGTTCCAGAGAAAATACAGGACACCAAGTTAAACTTGAATTTCAGATGAACAGTGAAAAACCTTTTAGGGTGAAAATGTTCCAAATGTTTAGCATAAGTATGTCCCATGTTACATTTGGGACATCCTTGTACTTGTCTATGTCATCTTTCTCCAGGACCCAGGCTGATGAAGCAGCCTCAGTCTGGAGCACTGAGTTGGAGTAGCAGAGGGACAAAAAGAGATTGGTGAACTGCAAACTAGCTCCTACAGCTCTGATCAGAAGTGGCAGACTGATCACTGCCACTCACCTTTTTTAGGCCAATGAGTCACATGGCCACACTTAGCATCAATGTGGCAGGGAAGACTAATGCACCCCTGAGGGGGGACATTGGTTATCTGTGACCATTATGCAGTCTACTCCAAGCACATAGTGGCTTGGGTAGGCTATCAGATGCCATTCACAAAGTTAAATTTGGTGGTGAAATGAAGCCTTTAGGAGGATTTTTTCAGAGTTTTTTAATGAGACGAGGAGTGTCTTAGTTCATTTTTTGTTGCTGTAAGAGAATGCCTGACACTGGGTAATTTATTAAAAAAAGAGGCTTATGTAGCTCACAGTTCTATAGGTTGGGAAGTTCAAGCGCATAGCCTTGGCCTCTGGTGAGGGCTTTTGTGCTGCGTTATAACATGGTGGAGAAGATCAAAGGGGAAGTGGACATGTGTAAAGAGGCAAA